GTGTCGGGCTTCAATTGGTCCCTAAACAATAATGTGTATCCTAGTTCAGCGAAATGGACGCCACACTAAACTCCGAAATACATAATTGAACCAAAATTTCCTGACTTGGGACAGGCGCAAAAACGAGGCGGGGTTAAACATGTTTTGTGAGCGATCTCAACCCTCCCCCTATACCTCTAGCTAATGTAGAATAAACAACCACACAGCAATAAGCACAGTAAAACTCAGTTTAAAAGAAGTCAGAGTCAGATGTAAGAACAGGTAATAGAGAAAACTGAACAAAATGACAATGATCAACATAAATTTACAAAGGACTACTAGCACTTACTGACTTGCCAGCTCCAGACCTCAATTAAAATGATCCACAGATTTTGTCTTCATCCTATGAAAATCAAGCACTATCGATATCCCTCCCGTTATGAGTTTAGTATCACGCCATCATAAATTATTCGAGAGGAACATAACCCGTATCATTCAGGAAAGATCAACCTTCATCCCCCAAATGAAATCCAGATGCGGATTAAGGCGAGGGCGTGGCGGGCGCGCGCCCCCTCCTAAAATTTTCAAAGCATAGATTGTCCTCAGCTTAATAAAGAGTATTTCGTTAATTTTACCTCAAAAAAATTTGCCTCGCTTCGATCGGCCAAATTTAAGTATGCGACCCCCTAACCTAAAATCCTGGATTCGCCCGTGAAATCGAATTATGTATATATATAGAAGAAATTGAATACGTGAGGAGCTCTATTCCCAAAAGGGACCCTAGAAAGAATCCTTTTAAGGTCAACTTATGCCCGAGGGATCGAGCAGGAAAACAGGCGAAAGATACAAAAGGGACATTGTCAAACTCATAACATATGAACAACAAATTTATTTAAGATGTAAAAAAAAAACATCGTACTCCTAACAACAAAATTATTATATTCAAATTTACCTGTGTACGTTATTTTATTTAACGTCATTTTGTCCAAGGTTATAGTTGTCTTTTTGACATTGTCTCATAGATCAAATTTATTCGTTCAGTGTATTTTTATTTGTTTTTGTTAATATGTCTTTTTGAGTGAGTTAAGCCATTTCAATTGATATTTTATAGTGTGTCTTTCTATGTTGTAATGTTACACTACTATTACAGGTTAGGGTGAAGGTTGGCGCCTGTTAAAACGTTTAAACCCGCTGCATTTGTTTGCACCTGACCTAAGTCAGGAAACTGTTTCAGTGGTTGTCGATTGTTGATGTGGTTCTTTTAAACGTGTTTCTCGTTTCTCGTTTAAAATCGTCAGAAATGTTTGTTTTTGCCATTTCTACATTATTTGGGCCATTACACTCCGTTTCATCGAACCCTGGATCTCCCCTTGCATATGTTGTTCAGTGGTTGTCGTTTGTTGATGTGTTCAAAAGTGTTTCTCGTTTCTCGTTTTTTAAATAGATTAGACGTTGGTTTTCCTGTTTGCATTGTTTTACACTAGTCATTTTGGGGCCCTTTATAGCTTGCTGTTCGGTGTGAGCCAATGCTCCGTGTTGAAGGCCGTACTTTGACCTATAATTGTTAAATTTTTACACATTGTGACTTGGATGGAGTGTTGTCTTATTGGCACTGATACCACATCTTCTTATTTCTATATCATAAGTTGATAATAAACTGACAACGCCATGGCAAAATAAGAAAAGGACCAAAAGACAAACAAAAGTATACAAAACCCAATATAGAAAATTAAAGACTGAGCAACACGAACCCCACCAAAAACTAGGGGTTTGTTTCCTTAACCTTGTTAACAATTTATAAACTAAAGAAAGTATGTTATAGTTATAACTGATCATAGCAGTAACGAACTGTATTTGCATATTACATAGAAATATTAAAGAAGATGTGGTATGAATGCCAATGAGACAACTGTCCATCCAAGTACAATGTGTAAAAAGTAAACAATTATAGGTCAAAGTATGGCCTTCAACACAGAACCTTGGCTCACACCGAACAGCAAGCTATAAAGGGCCCCAAAATGACTAGTGTAAAACCATTCAAACAGTTAAACCAACGTCTAATCTATTTAAAAAACGAGAAACGAGAAACACTTTTGAACCACATCAACAAACGACAACCACTGAACAACATATGCAAGGGGAGATCCAGGGTTCGATGAAACGGGGTGTAATGGCCCAAATAATGTAGAAATGGCAAAAACAAACATTTCTGACGATTTTAAAGATATTTTCCTACCTAAAAGCCAATGATATGACTCAAGCAAACCAAAAAAAGTCCCATAACACAAGCAAGAATTACAGCAAATGAACATTACTTGAAGAAGAACATATTCATAAATGTGTAACGTTTCAATATCGTTTTTTTTTTAAATATAACTGTTCATCTCGTAAAGTTGAGTTTAGTTACTCCAATTGGTGTATCGTAATCCACTGAGTCTATATTACAGCATTAACAAAGCCATTTAGTCTCCGGCAATCTAATTAAAATATGTTTCTCTGATTTTGTTATACTCATATCGATACTTTAACTAGATTGAGTCTCCGACCAAGTATGCATGTATTAAGTTTGTTGTATGGTTTGGCATAGGTTTAAAAATCTGCAGCAACCAATCCTGTCTCACTGCTTCCAAGCTGAATATATTCTTAAACGGACCAACTAAATAAACTATCATTATGCAGGGAATTATTGTATAAATATGGTGCTTCTTTTAGAAGAGGCCGGGTTAACTTCCACCAAAGACATATAATACATATATTTTTTCGTGCATGAACAGATTTGCAGTATTTATTGTTATATGAACCATACATAGCAGAATTTGTATCAGTTCTTTAGTCTATAAGTAAAAGAAAAACAACCGTGTTAATGGAGGACATGTTATTCAACAAACAATCGGCATTCCAATGGGAACCAACTATGCTCCACTTCCTGCTGACTTGTTTCTGTATTTATATGAGGCTGACTTCATACAGGAGTTTCAAAGGAAGAAAGAAAAAAAAGTTAGCATTATCCTTCAAATGGACTTTCTGCTATATAGATGATGTCCTCTCACTAAATAATTCAAAGTTTGGTGAATATGTTGAACGCATCTATCCCATCGAAATTGAGATAAAGGATACAACAGATATAGTTAAATCTAACTCATATCTTGACTTATAGCTAGAAAAGGAGAGGCGAAATGAAAAAAATGAGGGTAGGTCGAAAACAAAACTATATGACAAAAGAGGTGATTTGAACTTCCCAATTATGAACTTTCCATTTCTATGTAGCAACATTCCAGCAGCGCCTGAATATGGAGTATTCTCCATGGCAGATGATACGATATTCCAGGACTTGCATTTCCTATCATGATTTACTTGATAGAGAGTGGCTTCTCACAAGAAAGCTATTAAATCAAGAGTTCTAAGTGGTGAAGTTGGAATCGTAATTTTTTTTCGGATGCCATCACGAATTGTATGGTTGACTGTTATGGAATATCTGTGCCACAGAGGCGACGGATATGTCCAAATTGTCGTAATCACATTCCTGTCCTCTTTTCCCCAAAGGTGACGTACCGAATTAGACTGATCACCGGGTTTGTACTCAGCCGAACACGACGGGTGCCACATGTGGAGCAGGATTTGCTTACCCTTCCGGAGTACCTGAGATCACCCCCGGTTTTAGTGTGGTTCGTGTTGCTCAGTCTTTGGTTTTCTGTGTTGTGTTTTGTATGCTGTTGTTTGTCTTTTGGTTTTCATATTTTACAATGGCGTTGTTAGTTTGTTTTCGACTTATAAGTTTGAATCACGGTCCCTTTGGTACATATTTCTTTCGCCTATCTCTTATTCTAAACGTTTATAATTAGGGTCCAGGAACAGTAAATTGGCTATGTCAAAGATTTTGGTAACATTTTGCATACAACTTTGGCTCGTTGAATTATATCTGAAAATCGAAAAAATAATGCCTGTGTCTCTTTTTTTTCTGAAATATTACTTATTGAATTCTTTCAAAATTGATGAAAATTTGTATATAAAGCTGACATAAATTCCCGTTTTAATGATATAAAGATAATGATGTGGTCAACGATTTCGCATTTGGTGTTTAAACCAATCCGTTCCCTTGTTGGTAGTGAAAAACGTCAAAATTCGACGTTTTACGGCCTACAACGCGAAGACGTTACGATTATTTCGACGTTTTGTGGTATTTTTTCACTCTATAGTACACCACTTTGAAATATGTATGCCGTTGAAACGAAGTCGGTGGCCCTGTCATTATTTTACATCATTAAAACATAAATTTTTGTACCAATAATGTACAGTTTTTTTAAAGAAAAATCTATGTATCAAAAATTGAAAATTTAATGATTTTAAGACACATTTGAGAACGTTTTTCGCCCGGACTTTCAAGTTATATGTGCTTTTTACCTGAGACAATTATAGCAGTCTCAGTTTCTACACAATTTTTCGCCTACAGTCAATACAATCAGTAATATCTCAGAAAATAAAAGAGATAAATACATTTTTTTTGTCGATTTTCAGTTAATAAAGTTTTATGCAAAATTTAAAGAAAAATCTGTGACATAGTCGATGTACTGTAACTTGACCTTTTAAAAATGTTGTTTCAAAATAAAAAAAAAAAGTATTTATTCATAGTCATTCATAGTGTTTCCTAAAATATTTGACACTTGGTGTTTACAGTTTAGCAAACAACAATAGAAAACGCCTTTTAATTAATATATAACATTCCTCTTTTTGACCCTCAAGTGGACTGGAACTCATACACACAGTTCTATTAGCCAAACACAGGACATTTTTGACCGGGAACCCATTAACCAAAATGACCAAGAGTTATCGTTCATTCTCGTAAAAAAAGGTCAAACGAAAAGATAACATAATGTGTTACGTACAGGACACCAAAACAATCAAATTATTTATTATTAAATAAAATCGGTGAACAGTATTTCTTTCATATTTCAAACCTACTAAATGTAACACCTCTAGCATAGGTAATATATATATGAAATGTTATCAGTAATATCAGTTAACCGGAAGTGGGTTGATGTTGATAGAAAGTTTGTGGACATGAGAGATTTAATTTTAGCTAGTTTGTGTCTAGTTTCAAAGGGTATAAGCTTCATAAATCGAAGTCAATATACACTGCTATAGAACTGATTCCCACTTTCATTTTTCACTTTCTCAAAGCACCTTTGATTTACATCCTGGTCAAGTTTTAGACGAATGACGGAATGTTTTCTGAAACATTACGACTGTACAGCAATTTTAATTGTCATGAGCTCCGGTCTTATAATACCCTACCAATACTTTTACAGGTGGAATTTCAACAAAAACTTATATTACATTGTAAGAGAAGATGGGTTTAATTTGGCTAGCTTTCTTTTATCTTTTAAGTTTTATGAAGGCTTAGGGCTACCATCGATCATAGGATTTGACAATGCCTCAAAGCATGTCTTCACCGACTGCATAGTGTTTGTACTCCAGTTAAATGGTCAATTAAATAGCAAGCACCTTTCTTATTCATGTTGTACATGAAAGAGGCAGTGCAAACATTTAATATTGCTGCCTCATTGACATACATCCTTTTATTTTTACCCTTTGACCATGTCTGGACAAATTGATGTAATTTTGTAAGCTATATTTATTTATACATTGCTCATCTAGAATGACAGAAAATTTCATCAAAAGCATTTAGAGTTATAAAAAAATGTTTTTTGTCATGTTTGTATTTGTGATGTAATGTAGACTGATATTCTTTCAATACAATGAAAATGTAAATTTTATTGAAGAAGTAAAAGTAAACATTTCTTACAATTTCTTATGCCTTTTCTTATGATGGACACACATGTACTTTAACAAAGTGATAATTTTAATCACTTTAGTTTTAAAAATCATTGGAACAGCTTGGTAGCCCCATTGACTGCTAACATACATATACATATATATACATGTATGTCTGTCCCATTTCTGAATGTTTACATTGTTTAAATTTGGAATTAGAGAATGATTTTTTTTATGGTAAAAATCTCAGTATGAGATACTTGTACATGTTGAAGCTGTAGTAAATGATGATGCCAAATTAAAAGTAATGGATAAATAATAAGCATGATAACTTCTAAAAAAAAAAATAGAAATATATCTGCTTTTTACAAGGTTCACTTAAGATTTTTTTTTAAAAGAGCAGGTACTCCATCACATTTTCCATGAAGATTCCACAGTTCTGACTAAAAATCCATATCAACACAATCAAAGCCTTTATTGATAATTGATGTCATCTTGTCTAAACAAAATGAACATAATGAAGAAATTCAGATTTTTATTTTTTTTGTGTATGAAATGATGACTTCTAGATTCTGTTCAAAGAATCTTGATGCTACCTGGAACTCATCTCTTTTGAAATAATTTTATGGAATTACTAAATTGGAAATTGTCGAAATGGAAAGTTAGGAACAGTAACAAAATGTTCTCATAATGTGCAGATGATTTTATGAAGAGTTCTGTTTCATGTTTTTTTATCTATTACAGAATCTTGACAGTTGAAATAGATTAGATGATAAGGCCTTGAAAAATGGCATTTACTAGTTCCCAAGGGATTGAAGGAAAATCCCTCAACTACCAACAGAGAGGTACAAATAATTCCCCAGTGCCACAGTTAAACCCTCCACCACCAATACCTCAAAGATCAAGAAGATCCGATCCTCCTTCGATGGGATGGAATATACCTGATTTCTCAGACACAAGAACAAATTCTACAGTGGAACAAAATTTCATGAATCCAGCATCTGATCCATTTGGAAATTCTTTTGAAAATAATTTCATGGGAAATGTTTCAATGCAGAATAATACAAGTTCCACAGGAACTAACATACCTAGAAACAATAGTCCTTTATCATTGACAATGCCTGATCCTAGTTCTAAAGTCAGAGACTCTTTGATAGCTCTATCCCCAGACAAACCCACAGTTACACACCAAAAGGACTTTAGTCAGACTAAGTATAGCATGGATTTACAAGGGCTGTCTTTTGACCATTCAGAAAGCAATGAAAATGTTAATAAAATATCATCAAGTTCTTCATCTGAAAACTTGTCTTCCAATTCAAACAACCCGGCATATCCAGATATTAGTCATGCATTTAGAGAAGTAAGAAGAGAACCAACAAGACCTGATTATAGTGTTAGATTACCGACCCCCTGGCAGACCTCTGGACATACAGGAAGTTATGGCTGGAATCAAGACCTTTTTACTCCAAACTTTAATAATGCATCTAATGATCCATGGGCTGTGAATAGTGCTACAAATGTGACTGCTTCTGGACCCCCATTACCCCCTAGAAAAAGTGTTTCAAATGTCCCAAATATTTATCCTACAAATTTACAAATTGGACATGGACTGGTTCAGGTGCTCCCTATGCATCCACCAGCTCCAAATTTACAAAATTCTGGAAATCAGGCTGTCATGGCGGGTAAATTTCAACATCAGTTTTCTCAACCACAGCCTTATAATCCTACACCAAACATTAGTTCTACAATTAATGCAAACAGACCCGCTAGTATGCATGGTACTGATGCATGGTTGAAAAACAGACTTAATGTGCCTCAAACAGGTCTTCATAGAACTGCTAGTGCTAGTGAGTTTGATGACATAAGGGGAGATAAAAAACAAACTGAATCTGAAGTTTTTCAGGACAACTTTCATAATCGTGATTTTGTGGACGATGCGCTACCACGTAGTCGTAAAGGAAGTGATTTGATTGAATTGTCTGACGAAGAAAGAGATGACGTTGAAAAAGAATATTTGTCTTTAGAATCTTTTGATCCATTGTATAGAAGACAAAGAAGTGAGTCTGTCAGTTCAAGAGAAGGTGTATTGACGGGATCGCCAAAAGGTGGATTTCCCTCTTTTGTGTTCGCAGAGGCAACAGAGGTGAAGCCTGTCAACAGAGGTCTTAAGGACAGTGGATATGGTTCATCATTATATCCACAAATTCCAGATGAGGATGATGAGAAGGGAGTTTGTCCAATGGCCAGCCATGATGAGCTAGAGATATTTCTCAGGAGTGAGGTACCAGTTGCAGAAGAAACAGAACAAAAAGCACCTCCTCGGCCACCCCCTCCTAAATCACAGGTATGTTTGACTCAAATTTCTTTTGAGTTTAAAACTACCATTGAAATTTTTTTTACTTGGATCACAGATTGTAAATTGTTTCTTGCCTTTTGTTAAGGTAAATTTAAATAAGTTTCTATTGTCCATATGAACATGATGTATAAAAGAAGACTTGTAATACACTGTACTTTGACCTATAAGGGTTTACTTTTATAAATTGTGACTTGGATGGAGAGTTGTCTCATTGGCACTCATACATACCACATCTTCTTATATTTATGTACATCACTGAAGCAGCAACCTATGAAATAGACCCAAAAGACATCTAGAAGTCAATATATGGTCTTCAACAGTGATCATACAATACATGCAATATCGTCGATTATCGCTATTTTACGAAATTTTCCTTTGATCTTACTGACTGATAATTTCCTTTCTCAGCACAGTAGAGTGATATAAAAAATTATCGCTAGAAACTAAGGGCGCACATGCCGTTGTCAATTAAAAAATTAACAACGTCGTCATAGGTAAAATAGCAATAAACAGATTATCATTGGTCATCTCAACTCTATTGCTTTTCTCACTTTCGCCGTGCCGGCTCAAGCGAGAAAATCAATCTCGTTGAGATGACCAATGATAATCTATAAATATGTCAAGCTCTTAATCCTTCAGAGTCCAAGGAATAATGAAATTAAACAGGAGCTCAAAAATCTGCAATCAACACCTAAATCTATAGATTAAAAAAAAAAATTATATAAGACAATCACTTTCAAGACTTCTTACTTGAAAATCAGACTTGGACATGGGGTGGAATTAAACAAGGTACTGTGACCCCTATCAGGACTGAAGATTTTGTTCATGTTGTTTGTATTAGACTAGTGTTCTGTTTACACAAGTTCAAATGTTAAAATACTCAAGAAAATAAACTATAACTTCTGATGTAAGAATTGAGTTTAGAAATATTTTCAGTTTACACAAGGATTACAGATAATTAAGAACCATATGTAAGTGGATTGTGGTTTTTTTTCTGAATTAATTTCTAAACATTTATATTACATTACATGTATGTTTCATTATAATACATTATTTTGATTGGCTACCAGCAAGCTTGTGTCATTCTGAAATCAACCTTCATTTTCAAATGAAATGTAACATTCATGATAACACGAGCTTCCACAATAAAGTGCACAGGTAAATAAAATAAAAACTTGAAAGAAATCGTGTTTTCATGATCCTAACAAAAAAATGTAATTATAAGTATTGAATGTTTCTTTTAGTAATTTTATAGGGATGTAAAAGCGTTGAATGTGCGTACATTTTTAGAATGAAGCGCTTCCGCGCCTCATACAAAATGCACTTCGGTCAACGCTTTTACACCCCAATAAAATTTACAAAAAGAAGCATTCAATTCTTAAAAACATGATGTACGTAACATACATATGCTTGTTATATATATGTTAATTTCAGGATAAATCATTTGAGAGGCTGAGGCAGCATATGTTTGTAGATGACGAGTCCAATGCATTCTGTCAGATGGTTGTTGAGTATGTGTTATTCTTTTAAAAGTCATCATGGTCATTGTTATACTTATAGTTGTCAAATCATTAAAGTTTCTGGATCATAGTGAACTGAAACATTAAACTAGATATTTGTCACACAATAGAATTAAACATAAATGTACATTTCATTCACCATGTACACACCTAAAAAATGGAGCATACATTTGGTAAAACTAAGAAACTTGTCATATATAGAAAATTGCAAACAGTTACAATCTATATTTAAAGTGGTTGGAATATCGATATTTCATGTTACATGTGTTAATATAGCAAAGTTTTTAATTTTGAGTTAGTTTCTATTAATTTTGATTTTATCTTCTCGTACGATAGACTCTTATATGCACTATTTTTTATAGAAAACAAAAGCTAGATTGATTTTAGTTAATCCATGACTACAGATTATATTTTCTCGCTTTATTTTGCAGATTGAAATCACGGTACAAGTCAACAGACACAAAAACCAACCTAGGATTTATAGTCAGTCCGCTCTGTACTAAACAACAGTGTTCCATGTCTGTTAAAATTATAGTGTACTCTGACTTTGTTACTGAGCCAGTTGTGTTTACATGTGAAGGTAAGGAAAAGGATCAAATCATAATTTTTTTTAAACTTCCATCCTCATATTCATGATATTATAAAACTACCAAAACAAATTTCAGCAACATCAACAAATTTAGTGCAGTGAAACATTAATGTCTGCAAAATTTTGATTGATTGATCAATTGATCATGTTGATAGATATAAGAAGATGTGGTATGAGTGCCAATGAGACAACCCCCCATCCAAGTCGAAATGTATAAAAGTAAACCATTGTCATGATTATAGGTCAAAGTACGGTCTTCAACACGGAGCCTTGGCTCACACGGAACAGCAAGCTATAAAGGGCCCCAAAAATTACTAGTGTAAAACCATTCAAACGGGAAAACCAACGGTCTAATCTATATAAAAAATGAGAAACGAGAAACACTTATGAACCACATCAACAAACGACAACTACTGAACATCAGATTCCTGACTTAGGACAGGTGCAAACAATTGCAGCGGGTTTTAACGTTTTAATGGTACCAAACCTTCACCCTTATCTGAAACAATAGTGTAACATCACAACATGATGTTTGTTTTTGAGTCCAGTGAAATGTATTTCATTGATGGTCACGATGAGAACACATAAAACAATACACTAAATAAGAAGGTACTGCAAAATTTATATCCTCAGAGGGAGGACTAGAAATTTGGACTGCTCTGGAAAAAGAGGAAGTGTTTAACAGGGCAAAAATTTTACCTTTCAAAAGGCCACCTACTTTCACCCTCAAAGAATTGTTGCAAAGGTTCCTTCAAATGCACACAATGTGGCAATCCCTCAATATAGGACATAATTTTATTTTTGGTTCCCATTTTAACAATCTTATTTGCATATTTATATACATCTTGCACCGAAAAAAATGGGTGTTTCCTCAGCATCAGTTGCATGTGATGAGAAATTCAGGTAACCATATTTCTTACCCCTGTCACCCGTTGGACTACATGTCGTAGTGAAAAGAGTTCCCACTTTTATGACAAATCAGTTGAATGATTTTGTTTTTCTAAAGCAGTTTATTTTTCTTATTATTTTAGTTGAAAATCCAACAGAAATGGTGATTAGCCATGTATTATATAGTTCCTTAGGAGCATCCCAGAAAGATTTAAACACATCTGACTTTTTACTAAAGGTTTATGACAGATCAGAATATCTTCTCAAGTAAGTTACCTAAAGATATATATTAGATGTATGTTAAAACAGTTGTTTCGTGCTACTCTGTTTCTTCAAAATAGGGTTTAAAGCTATGTTTTGCATTATTTTGTGCCATGCTGGTAGGATTTTGCTGGTCTGAGGTAAAAACACCGTTTTGGTGTTTCATACTGACGCATGTGTTTTGTTTTAGCTTAAGATCCTTCAAACATGGATGTGATAGATATATTAAACATTGTTTTACACAAGGATGGAACTGTTTTACTTTCAAAGTCGTATTCTAGTGATATCTATTAAGTACGGATTTCTGTACACTCTCACCGTATTTATTTTCTTTTACACGTGCTATTCAAACATCCGGTTTAAACATACACAAGTTTCTAAATTGTTTTTTGTGTGATTTTGACACATTTTAACACTCATGAAGTGTTCTAGAATCATTAACAAGCAGTTTCAACTTCTATTTGATGATGGAAATGAAAATACCGCAAACGATCACACACGATTTGAAATTACCGGAGTTTCATTACATTTTCTAACAGTTACAAAAAGTTTTTTTACCTGAAATTTCATGGCGAGAAGGGGGTGCAGACAATACACCAGTGCGAACTATAAAAGCCCGATTACGTTATTTTGTTTCAAAATAAAATTCTTTACTGATATGTATTTTGCTTGATTAAATTATTGAACCAGAATGATTAAGAAAAAATGGCTAATTGATAATGAATGTTTTATAGTTTTTGTGTTCGGTTTTCTTCTTGGCTGACTGGCTGGTAGGTTTTGGAAATTCAACTTGATGCAAAACAATTTAAAAAAATTGAATAAGCTTTTATTCAGAAAAATACTGATCAGGGGCTCTTTTCAAAAAAGATCTTACAACTAAAAAAGATCATAAGTTATACTGAAATGTACATGACTTACGAGCACCTTTTCTCTTAATATTTTTTTGTGAAATGAGTCAATTTTCAGTAGTTGTTTTCCTAATTGTTGACCATAGAACCTGGCATTATTTATAATTCACTGGTAGATAGAATGTTTGATCTGTAATAGCTATCTATTTTGTTCTTTAACTATCTTAAAAACTAAATTTTAGTTTGTTAATTCATAAATCATGTTCTCTGTATCAGATGTTTTTGTATAACCTGCAAATTCAGCTAAAAATGACATTTTCAGTTCAAAATGTGTATGCTTGTGATTATTAAGGACATGTGGAAGTTAATATTTGAGAATTTTAAGGATGTACTTAGGTGAAATTAAAAAAATCTAGAATTTAAAGATACTATAAGTCAGAAGAGCATTAATTAAGGAACAAAATAAGCTAAAATATTGATAGGCAATGGAGTTCCTTTTCCAGATATTTAAGTTTAAAATGGCAGGAAAAGGCTGACTCTGACTTTTACCTTATGTTTGCATTGGTTTTATTTGGGTCTGAAATCGAAAGAAAAGAAATCTAGAATCTGCTTATATTTTGGTAAATGACCTTTTATGAGCTATTGAAGTCTTATATGAAAAGAAAAATGGGTGTTATGGGACAAAATATTTTACCCTGTATCGTAGGAAAAAAAACCATGGAGTCCGAACATCTGACACAAATTCCTAAACCTCACCTAAGTACCTCCTCATGCTTTTGTTTGTTAACGGAAAATAATCTGTATAAACTCATAATTATTTGCAGTAAGTTTCCATTGTGTCGATATGAATATGTCCATAACTGCTTGAAGCTTGATGAAGATATTAAGTTTACGCTAATGAGGAGACAGGAAGTCTTATTACCATTTCTTAGAACAGTAAGTTTAAAAAAAATATAATAAGGTGATGCACTGCAGCTAAAGTATATTTTTCTATTTTTGACATCTCCTTAGAGAGGGCACCGGATAGACCAATGTTTGCTCTTCAATCCTATCCAACCTAAAGAGTTGTTGGAACTGTTTCCTTTATTTTTTCATGAGGCCTAAAGTGATTACTCATTGATCTACATTTTGTAAGCAGAGAAAAATTTGTTGTCAATATTTTTTAAAAATGAAGATGAAATCTTAAGAGCCGAATTTTGGATTTTTTTTATTACCAAGTAAGAAGAACACAAAACAACTAACATAAAAACAACAGACACAAAGTATTGATCTAAGAGTACTCACAGTTACTGACAGCTTCATGTAGTTCAAAGTTGATTATAACTAAGAGCTGTTCCATAAAAACATACATGGGACCCAGGGAAGGCACTTTGAAATCGCAACTATGGGTGGGTGTTAAAATTATTTTGAACAATAAAAATGTAAAGAAAAGTTCTAAATTGCCTCTATAGTTTGGTTTCTTCATTTTTAAAGTGCCTTCCCTGGGTACCATGTATGTTTTAATGGAAGAGCCCTAATAAATAAATCATGTTCTCTCAGACTAAGTACACATATTTATATGATGTTTTGTAATCACTTTATTTGTTCAAAAAGAGAGGAGGAAAAAACCAAAGGGATAAGTTTAAACTTAATTCAACAAGGACCATAACTCTGCAAAAAATCATCAAACCGAAACGAAATTCAAACTTGGTCTGTAACTTGTCATAATAAAACAATGTACCAATTATTAAATCAATATCTTCAAGAATGACGAAAAAAAGTGCGGAAAACTGAATATTTGAGGTAATTTTTTAAGTCCAAGGACTATAACTCTGCACAAAATTATCAGACCGGAACACAATTCGAACTTGATCTGTAACTTGTTATGATAAAACAATATACCAAATATCAAATCAATATCTTCAAGCATGAAGAAAAAAAGAGTGGAAAACTGATTTCCCGGACTGACAGAATGACAGACAGACGGACAGACAGACAGACAGACAGACGGACAGAGTGCATACCTAAAGTCCCCTTTGACTTTGTCGGTAGGGGACTAAAAACAAACTGACAACACCATGGGAAAAAAAAGTGAAAAACAACCAAAAAACAGACAGTAAACAAAACACAAATTAGAAAACTACAGACTGAGCAACACTAACCCCACAAAAAACCAGGGGTGATCTCCGGTGCTCCTGAATGGTTAGCAGATCCTGTTCCACATCTAGCACCTGTCGTGTTGCTCACAAAGTACAAACCCCAATTTTAAAATTAATTCGGTAGGTTCAAGTTTTGAAGTGAAAGTAACTGTCTATTTTTAGATTGATGATGATAGCCAATGTTTGTATTTTCCTAAAGAGTATGTGAAAACAGATGAAATGATTGCCAACAAGTATGTATTGTTTATCCTATATATGTTAACAAGGAAGGCATATCTGGGTAACCTAAGGTTGTGCTAATGAAACATAAAAAAAGTATATAAAAGGTGAAATAAACAAATAGTAGCCAATCTTAGAAGTAATTAGGGGAATTCCAGAAACTAGTCAAATGCAAGGCTTCCAAAACGGTCATATATTCCGGACATTTGTATAATGTCCGGTAAAAGTCCGGCTGGGCAAAGCATGAAACGGTCATTTACTTTTTAGTTTTCAAGGCTTTCTTAAGAGACGGTCATTTTAACATAATTCGCGATCTTTTTGACCCAACCTTTTGCCTTTAACAGCCACACATTTCCGGTCATAAAAGTGACATGATCATTAAGTACTATCAAAACATCCCCTACTTTAATACCTTCTTATTTTAATCAAGGCTAATTAGTTGTCGAACAGCTGAAATTTACCTGTTCAGGTGACAGGTAAACTATTTTGAACCGGACATTGATCGGTCTATTCAAAGTTATTTTCTTACATTTCAGCGGTTTGCATCTAATTAATTTAGTCAAAAAGATTTAAATTATCAGAAATACGTTTACAAATATGATTTGATGAAAAAAATAAAAAGGTGAACATGAAAAATCGTCATAACCACGTTGTTTGAACTAGTACACGTGTGCGCATGTGGGCAGGTGTGAAATTTAATAATGCATCCTAATTTCTTCAAAAAATGCTTAAATTGTCATTGATACCTTTATCTCACGTTTATTTCGAATATTTTCTTGAAGAAATAACGTAGAAAGAGCTACGTACACTCATTCAAGCTTTGCAAACGTACACGGAATTTACGTATCCGTCTCTGGTCCATGTTTTACCATTGTCAAGATAACATCCGGATTAGATTTAAAAACGAAAGTAAAGTTTTTGACAACGTTATTTTGCACAAATAAAGAGTCTAAGGCAGATATAAGTACGCTGATGTTGCACACTTCGAATGATGCACTGCCAATTTAACAGTTTACGTCAGAACTTCGAATTTGAATCAAAGAAAGTTTAATATCGTTTTTTTTAATGTCAATCATAAAAAATTTGGGATGGCCAACTCGGCAACTGAATACCATAATTACCTTTTGTTTATTTAGTCTTAAGGGATTAAAATCGGGATAATATATAAAATGTCCGGCTGGCTAAAAATAATTTTGGAAGCCCTGGTCAAATGGGTTTTGAAGGCTTTTTTTGTGACCAACTCCCTATATAATTTTAATAAAAAATAAATGTTTTCTCCTTTTTATTAATGTGTAAAATGCTGCCAGTTTGTTTATATATAAACATTAGCTAATGAAAAATTCATGGTTCATGGTCAAGCAAACTTAACATTTATGGACATAGAACACACTCAAATAATGTCTTAATATGGACATAAATTCCGTGTGGTGAACCAACGCCTGTGAAATCGTTTTGGTAGAGTACCTGAAGTGGATACCTTGGTATGCCGGGTTGTCAAATCATGCAAATGAATGCAAATGAATGCAATCCTTAAATAATAATTAAAATTGACCTCAGGTCCTGAAGACGCCTGCCTTGCAGGTGAAACATGTTGACATAGAGAATAAAATTGCAGATCTCTTGAAGTGTTGTTGTCAATTTTAATTATTATTTATGGACATAGAACACACTTAAATAATGTAAACATTTATGGACATAGAACACACTTAAATAATGTAAACATTTATGGACATAGAACACACTTAAATAATGTAAACATTTATGGACATAGAACACACTTAAATACTGTAAAGTTATGTATTTTTTAAGAGTTTAAATTTCACAATTTTCAAAGGTAAAACTGCACAAGGACTTAGTTTTCCTATTTTTCTAATCTCTGATTCCAGTTTCCATTAAAAGATAAAATTTATGCAAGAGAATATTTTCTCTGTTTTATCTTAATTGGGAATTATATAACTGTAGTTCAGTTGTAAAAAGTAAAATAGCAAAAATACCGAACTCCAAGGAAAATTCAAAACGGAAAGTCCTTTATCAAATGGCAAAATCAAAAGCTCAAACACATCAAATGAATGAAAAACAACTGTCATATTCCTGACTTGGTACAGGCATTTCCTCATGTAGAAAATGGTAGATTAAATCTAGTTTTATAGCTAGCTAAACCTCTCACTTGTATGACAGTCGCATAGAATTCCATTATATTGACAACAATGTGTGAGCAAAAAAAACAGACATAACAGGTAAAAATGTCAAAAATTGGGGTAACTTAATCACATTATATGTGCTACACTCTTGTTTTGCATAACGTAAATTGATAACCTTTTTTCAGGGAACAGATGGAGATTCTGCTGAATGCATTTTATGTTGAAGTAGAGAAGTTGAGAGATCATATCTTAAAGGTACTATAAAAGTTAAGAAAAGAAACAGAATACCTCAAAGTCACATTCATTTGCATGTTAATCAGTGCTCTTCAACTTTGTACTTCATTTGGCTTTTTTAACTTTTTGATTCGAGCGTCACTGATAAGTTTTTTGTAGATGAAATGCGTATCTGGCATACAAAATTTCAATCTTGGTATCCATGATGAGTTTATTTAATTCAACTGTTTAGAAGACAAAAATTAAAAAAAAAAAAGATAGCAAATGAGGAAGTAAGATACACAAATATGGGATTTGTAATTTCCTGTTCCTTTTGCTGAGGAAAGTCAATTACTGTAAATTCAGAAATTATTGATTGCATTTATTATTGCGATTTTTGAAGAATGAACAAAAATGCTGTTTTAATTATTGCGATTTTAGGAAAAGCTACACAAAACTATATGTACAAGATATCAGAATGCGAGTTCTTATTATTGAGATACTCAAGGAGTTGCATTATTCGCAATAATAAAAACCTCACAATTATTTCTGAATTTACAGTACATTTATAGGAAAGTATAAATTCTTTTTTTTTGCGGAAATAAAAAAAATCTTAGGATGAACTCTTTTTGTAATTTTAATTATATTTTTTATTGAAAAAGACAACTTTACTCTCAAAAATTTTGTTTACATTAAGGAGTAGGCTTTTTTGCACAATTCTTTTATATATTTTCAGAATGAAACAGCACTAATCAGGTCTCAGCAGTTAAGCCAAGCTGTGAAGGCCATATGTTTGACTTTATGTAAGATAGAAACTATGGACATAACAAAAACACTACAGAGAGTAGAAAATATTGTAGCACAGCTCACAGTAAGTTCCAAACTTTTGGTCACAGTATTAAAATAAGCAGATGTGGTATGCTAGTCAATGGACAAATATCTTCAAGTTTCTAAATGACATGGATGTAAGCTTTTATAGATCATTGTAAGGCCTTCAACAATGAGAAAAAAACCATATTGTATAGTCAGCTTTAAAATGTCCCAACATTACAAAATGTAAAACAAATCAAGTGAGAAAATGATGTACCAAACAAATATAACAGACAGCAACCAATGACAACCACTGATTTACAGGCAATTTTATCAAGTAGGATTATTCCAGAAACATATTATACACAAGGAAATCATTTAGAACTTTTTTTAGATATTATATCTTATTTAGATAACCGAAAGGTAGTTAAGAAATCAAGTGAAAAACAATAGAAAAAATTTTTTTTTAGGGTCAAGAAAGTCAAGTTTTGTGTAAGGATACCGAAGACTATGCCACACAACAAGCCATTGGGTGAGTTTGTAATGAACATCATTTTGGATCAGATATCGTGTAACCAGACTTCGGAATAATATTTATATTCAGAAATGTGTTTAACCAAGTATCAAGTGTATACTCTTAGAGCTTTAATAATAATATGTTCAAAACAAATTCCATAACAAATTACCGAACAGTGCAAATCGGTTTTAGGGCTGTGCAGGAAATAAATGTATGCAGGGCTGGAAGTCCTTTTTATCTAGCCAAACATAGAATTGAATTGATTATTTTCAATAATTGTGCAGGCTGTCTTTTTTAAAATAACCACCACCCATCAAAATTTAATTGAAGTGCCTTCCAACCCCCATACAATTAATACTGAGACAGGCCAGAATGAAATTTTCTGTACCAAGCTTTAAACTACAAATATAAAGATATACAAGGCCATTGACCTTTGACAAATTTGAATCGACAGGTAAAATTATTCTCTATGTATATATTTTAGATTTTTTTCGTTTTTATAATTGTTTTTTTTTAATCATATTTTTCGTTTTTTTTTTAGGTTTCTTTAATTTGCATTTTTATTTTAGCATAGTTTCCTATTTTAACCTGTTTTGTTCTGTTTTGATTATTTTAACTATTGCTTAACAGTGTATCGATTTGCCAGAAATTTATTGTAACAGTTAAGGAAAGATCTGTTACATCCTGATTTATGTATTTTTACCATTTTGATGTCGACATCATTTGTATAAAGGTCCCTATTCTTTAAAAATTAGACAAAAAAAAAAAAAAAAAAAGACCATAACAACAAATGTTAATCTGATTTTGTTTTCTTTTATACTCATTTCAAGTTTTTTCTGAAACAAACATACATTTTTAGGATTTCAAAACATATTTAAACATTGTTCTGACTGTAAATGCCCCTTTTTACACAGTTAATCAAACATTGAAAGAATTCCATGTTTTAGCAAGTTTTGGCAAATCGTTACACTTATGTTTTACCTATATATATATATATATATATATATGATTAATTTCATCCTGAAGGTATCTTAAACATGGGTAATTATGTTTCTTGTTTTGAAATATATTCCTTTATGATGAGGGTCATTACCCCTATCGTGCATTAAGCTTTTAGAAACTTTCCAAATTTTTTTTTTTCTTGATTCTGTAAATTAATTTTTAAACTATATACTTTCCTATAAAAATGTAGACTATACAAAATGTAGATTCTTGTTTTCGTCTTCAAAGTTGCATTCTAAAATAGCAGAAAAAAATGAAAGGTATGTGTCCTTGTAAAAAAAATTTGAGATATAAGCCATTGAAAATTGGCAGGAAATGAATTTAACATTGGTAATTTTTCTTTCAAAAACGATAAAAAAAATAACAAGGATTTTATAAGATATTGAAAAATATCTTTTTAAACAATATGTATTAAAATTATGAATAGAAAATTAGGGGTTACTGGGAAAATTTTTTACTGACATGGATTAAGCCAGAGGATTCTGAATATTTTTCGAAAAGTTAAAAAGAAGAGCAAAGAACATTCTTAAGTAAGATAAGGAAAAGACGAGAAAAGGAGAATCTACTTACACAGTGTTTAAAAATACCGTTGAAAATTCATTATCTGATTAAAGATCAATATTTGTGGTTGCACTTTTTGCAATCTCATTCCTGCTATAAGATTTACCTACTTTCTTTTATCAGTAATTCATCCTTACAGAATCGGATGCATTGTGGGTAAAATTCCAAAGTCTACTCCAAAACAAAGTGATTGACTGCTAATGTCTTAAAGCTATTTTCCTAATGCTTGTAGTTTAAAGGTTTGGTTGGCTTGCTTGCTTTGTTTGTATAAATGTTTGTTCAAGCATAATGAGCATTGACATTGTAATTAAGATTGACAACTGCAATCAATAGATAGGCGGGGCTTCAGTTTGTATACATTATACTTAAATGTTATTGGATGTTAAGTATAATGCAGAGTATAATGTATAAAAGCTAAAGCCCCACCTATCTATTGATTGCAGATGTCAATCTTAATAACAATGCTTGAGCAAATATTTATACAAACAAAGCAAGCAAGCAAACCAAACCTTTAAACAACAAGAATTAGGAAAATTGCTCTAAACAATTGCTATTTGTTCAATAGAGAAACCATATTTTTTATAATATGGTGTACAAATAATGAAATTACCAATAATCTTTTATATTCTGATACACCAATTAAAATTAAAAGTATATGTTATATCTTTCATTCAATTATAGCAATAGAACTTGTTCAAACTTACCATGAGAACAAGTGGTAAAGAGTCAAATCTTCTTTTGTTACTGTTTAATGAGATAATGAAATTTTGACGGCATTTTTAAACTCATGTGAACTTGAGCTGTTGGGTTGCTGTCTCATTGACATATATATACATTGTTCTGTTAATATAACCTAATTCTTGATAACATTTCTTTAGTTTGGTAGTAGTGAACCCTTTGTTTATATTCAACCTATCTAGTAAGCAGAATTATATGGAATGGTAAAATTTTAGCCGTTTTTTGTCACAGCTTTTTGGTAATGCAGCTTCTTTGTCATTGGTACAATCTGAATTTCTTTAATCAGGCTTGGATTTCCTAAAATGGACTTTATGTCAAAAACATATTTCAAAATTAAGTAACTTTACATAATTTTGTTCTTGAAAGCAAGTTCTTAGTATATTTTAAGTACTTTTTCCTCAAAACTCTTGTTAGTTAATTGTATGTCCACCAATCCCTCATTAAGTGGGGAATTCGGTCATTTATAATAAAAGGGGGATTTCTTTATCAATTGTTTTTAATGTGTTACATGTGGTTAATAAGGTAATGTCTGAAGGAAACATGGTTCCCTACCAAGAAACATTATTTTGACTTTTAGATGCAAGAATTGCTCCTTCTCCTTAATGCCTCATGCTGAATGGAATACCACCCAATGGTGACTGGGGAATAGAAATATGGTCACCATTGGTCTTCCTCTGACCAGCAGTACAACCCTCACCAAAGTTGGGCGTCCGTTTGGCTGTGCGGGATGTACAAGTTCGCAGCCACGTCCGGTCAGAATGGGGACATTTAATCTGATGCCTCGTGTAAAGAGAGTGCCATGCTCTTTGCACATTAAGGACCCTTGCAACAATTTTTTGAGGGGTCTGTAGGTGACCTGTTGCAATGCTAAATTTCTGTCCCTATCTAATATATCCTCTATTTTCCTGTGGCAGTTGAAATTTCCCCGACCTTTATCCTGGACGGCCTATTGTATTTATTGTTAATTTGTTCTCGTCCTGAACATTCATGAAATATTTGCCACTGGACGTTAAGAAACCAACGATCAATCAATCAGTCTCAATGGAATAGAAATTTGAAACAAGCCGGCTACCTTGAGACCACCAATGCAGTTTTTCTTTATGATAGATAAGATTCTGTGGTCACTTGAAACTTGCTTCCAAGAGATAAATGTATAGTCCTCTTTAGAAAAAAACTCTTAACAATAGTATTCCATGCTTTTGAGGAGAAGTCCAAGCCTGTTTCTGTAATAATTTCAACAAACTATAAGCTTTTCTGTGTATAAAAACTCCTTAGATGTAGTAACAAAACTAACAATATTAGAAAAAAATATACATGTGTTGTACTTCGGTATGTATAATGTTATTTATTAAATTTTTATTATGAAATATAATTCTGCTAGGCAGTTTTAACTGCAAAAAAAAACTAACAAATGGATAAGCATCAGTATCATATGTAGAAAGAGTAATATTATCTTATATATACTAAATTTATATTGTAGAATAGTCCTAAGGTTTTGGGTTGCTTTAAAGAACACTTGCTTATCTTAGTACTTATTCAACTGTTGTAATAATATTTCTTCCAAACAATTGAGTTTTGTAAATTATGTTTTGCTATTTTATTATACTCCCGCTTTAAAAAAGTGGGGGTATACTGTTTTACCTCTGTCTGTCTGTCTGTCCGTCCATCCCTCCGTCAGTCCATCCATCCGTCAGTCCGTCCATCCATCCATCCGTCCCATGAATATTTTTCGTCGCATCTTTCTCAGGAACTGCAATACAAAGATTTCTGAAATTTGGTTTAAGGGTTTATATAAGTCTTCTATACCATGTGATGCATTTTCAGATTCATCACTCAACAACTTCCTGTTTACCGAAATATTTGGGCGGGGGTATCATCAGTGAGCAGTAGCTCGCAGTTTCTCTTGTTTTTTATTGTAAACATTATAGATCTGTAAACAAATTTTCTTGCAAATGATTGATACATTGGTCAATGTAAATTTTTGTTATTAGATCCATTTCTCAGATATAATAAGCAAAAGGTCAACTATATTTGGTGTATTGAATAATTGTAAGGTGTACATGTCTGTCTGGTAGGGTTCATCTGACCATGACCTCATTTTCATGAATGTTTATTTTGTAATGTTTAGTGAAACAGCATCATCTGTTATAAGTTACCTTTTCATCTCAATTTTCATTAATTCCACCAAACATTTTGCAACAATTAAAATAAAAATTGATAACAAATGAGTATAACTTATTGTAAATATAGTAATTATTTATAGAAATTATTTTTATAAGCTTTGCCTATTTTGCAATGTAATTATGATCATCTTTTCCCATAATTTGTTTTCTTATTATAGGCAAATGACTGACTTCTGCTATTCCAAACCTCTTGTATGGACAAAACATTCAGATATCTAAACATATTTTAAAATTTATCAAAAGGTCTGAGAGATTTCTTGTCATTTGAAGATGAAAAGTGTATTTGTGATTTGTTCACATCATCATCATCATTACCAATTTTTCAGTTAATATTTTGTTATTCTTTCAATAGTTAGACTCGTAAAGCATTGTATATTTTGAAAGTTTGCATGCTCATATTTACATTGTATTGTTATAAACTGTAATTCGTAGAGGACTTCAAAAGTATGGTTTACTTGTGTCTAATCCATTTTACTTTGAGTAATAAAATATGTTTTAACTTATCTAAACTATATATTTCAGTATGGCAATTAAATGTTCATTGATAGAAGAAATGGAAGAGGCTTTAGATCAGCTTTTGAAGGCTGTGAAAGAATTTATTAGAATGTACTGCATAACATTCCATACAGATTTTCTTATTGGTTCTACTGTCAAGGCAGACTGGGGTAAGTAGATATAACAGATTTTCTGATTGGTTCTACTATCAAGGCAGACTGGGGTAAGTAGATATAACAGATTTTCTGTTTGGTTCTACTGTCAAGGCAGACTAAGGTTAGTAGATGTAACAGACTTTCTGATTGCTTCTACTGTCAAGGCAGACTGGGTAAGTAGATGTAAAAGACTTTCTGAGTGGTTCTACTGTCAAGGCAGATTGGGGAAAGTAGATGTAACAGAACTTTCTGATTGGTTATGACAAAGATGAAACAAGGAGTATATGTAGCAATTCTCTGATTGTTCTTGTCAGTTTAACTGGGATGAATCAATGTAAAAAAAATCTAAAAGGTTTTTACATGTAATGTACTTATGGTTAGGCTGACTTAGGCTAATAGATTTATTATAGCTCTATTTTTTAGGCATTCTTGATACTTTCATGTTATAAACCAGAGGCGGATTTAGGGGGGGGAGGGGGGGGCCTTTTTTGGGAAAAATTCGGTTGATTATATAGGGTATCACTGAAGCATGACTGGAGCGGACCCCCTCTTAGGCAGTCAGTGGGCCCCCACTTATGAAAATTTCTGGAACCTCCACTGTAAACTTTACTCTTGACTCTTTTGTCGAGGTTAAAGGGCATGGATGGGCCATCAACAGGCAAAATTTTCTTTTCTAAAATTGATTTGATAGTGTATTGCTTAGCTCTTTTATAGACTGCAAATTGTATTTTTTTCTTATTTTCAGGCAGCAAATCAGTAACCACTGTTGAAGATAATTTTATATTACATATAGCAACAGTACACAGAATTCCTCCATACTGGTCTACTAAGTAAGTACTGTATTTTGTCGTGTATAATACACCGAAAAGTTGATAGTTAATTTTTTTGTCATTTATCACAATACTTCAATTTAACCATATTTTGTATTAGGTTTAATATAAATAGATTAAATCACAATATCATAAACATGACAGACTTCAGAACTTTAAAGAGAGGTTAGAGATACCTAATGGACATTCAAACTCATAAGTCGAAAAATAAGCTGACAACGCCATTGTTGAAAAAGAAAAAAAACTGGAGATTTGTTATTTTTATGTTTATAGTAATTAGTTCACAATCGGTAAAATAAAATGCATACATGTATTTCAGAAATAGCTTTAAATATGTTGTCAGGTTTACTGCAATTTTAAGTTTACCTATTAGAAGAGGAATTCTTGTGTTAATAACTGTATGTTGATGGAGAGATATCTGTACCATTTACTATAATAGACAGGCCTAATTAATTTTCTGTAAGAAGGGGGTGGTGCTCTTAGAAAAACGGGTATCCCCCTCCCGGAATATATTTAATATTTAATAGCCGTAATTTAATTTCAGATATGATGAATATAAAGTTGTATGTTCTTTGTACTATGCTAACAAGAAGATTGAACTGGACAGAATGACAAGTTTTAAAGCCATCAGTAGTACTGGCCTGTGTGATAGAATAATGTGGGATGAATGGTAAAGTAGACAGATCATTTACATTACAATATTATTGAAATTTCAGAAATAAATATACAATATGAGGTCAATGTAAAAGAAACCCAAACTTTTTTGTATGAGGCTGAGAAACTGGGGAAGGGTGAGGTTTTACCGAGCCATTCCCCGGTTTTGTGCCGAATACAAAAAAGTTTATATTTTTCTGACATTGACCTAATATTTGTTTTTTATACTGCAACTTAAATTAATACATTGATAGCTATTTAAATTGTAACACAAATTTCAAACTTATTTTCATCCCTTAATGAACCCCTGATTGTTGAAGAAACTATCCATGATGAAATTGACATTGCACAAAATATAGCTTTGTTATTATATTTAGGAAATAAACACAACTAGTTGCAGTATATAAGTAAAGTTTGTATTGGTCTCATCAAGTTAATTTGTTGTTCTAAATATTTTATAGAATACATATCTTTAAGTAAATGAAACATGTTTTGCCTTTTTATTTTTTTTCCATTTTTACATATTTTAAGGAAAAAAACAAATTACTCTCTCAATCCCTAAAATTAATAAAAAAAACATATCTTTGGTTGCTCACCTTTTCTATGATAGACATTTTTACAGTTGTATGCAAATTTGTTCACCATAAGTATTTAAAACCATACATGTACAAGTTCCACCAATTATTGCATCAAAATTTAAAAACATTTGACGTCATAATTTAAAAGCGATTGTTGCATGATGTCAGAAGGTTATCCAGAGACAATTCTAGTGTAATTATGAGACATAATTCAGCTAAATACCAAAAAAGTTAATATGTCTATTATTAAAGCTCTTTGATGTAAATAATATTCTGTACTTTTTTTTAAATTTAGGTAGAATTACTTACATCAAAGGTTTTGAAGATGTTTAAATACAGACATCAAAGGTTTTGAAGATGTTTAAATATAGAACATTTAATAGAATCAAAACCTAGAAGGTCTTTAACAGTACAGAAGAAATTTTCTAAGATCAGCATGATCAGTGATATAAATAAGTCTCACAATTTGATTTGCAAATTTTTATTTTCAGGATAAATTTTGAAAATGTGATATTAATGACCTTGCCAAGGGAGACAAGACTATGTCTGACTTTGTATGGTCAGAAATCTGTAGCGCCTGGTAACAACAGTCCTGCTAATGTTACTGATAAATTACAAACTGTTCTGGGTGGAGTCACTATACAACTTTACTCACAGAAGGAGTAAGTATGGGTACCAGTTCAAACTCGTTTCAAAATTAGATTTGTTGAAATATGATTAGTGAAATTAGTCCTGTAAAAATAGATATGGTATGGTATGATTGCCAATGATACAACCATCCACCAGAGTATATGTATTTTTATACGCCTGTTAACGGACGTATTATGGTATACCGTCTGTCTGTCCGTCCGTCGTCAACATGTTGGACAATAACTTAAAACGCTTTCACTAATTTTCATGAAACTTTGGTGAATTGTTTATATCTATTGACGTAATCTCCCTTTTGCTTTTTATAAATTTTAGATTTTACGTGGGATTTTATTCATAAGAAATGCGGGATTTTCCAGTTTTCTAACTCAAACTCAAAAATGCTGTGAACAATTTTCATGAAACTTTGGTGAATTGTTTATACATATTGACATAAGTTCCCTTTCAATTTTTAAAAACTTTTGATTTTATGTTTTGGAATATTGGGACTTTATTCATAAAAAAGGAATGTGGCGTAAAGCAATCAACAATCAATCAATCAATCATAAAAAAGGGGGGATTTTCCAGTATTTCTAACAATTACTCAAAAATGCTTCTAACAGTTATCATGAGACTTGTTTATATCTATTGAAATAAGCTCTCTTTTGTTAGTCCCCTACCGACGAAGTTGAAGTGGACTTTAGGTTTGCACTCTGTCCGTCTGTCCATCCGTCAGTCCGGCAAATCAGCTTTCCACACTTTTTTTCTTTGTTCTTGAAGATATTGATTTGATATTTGGTATATAGTTTTATCATGACAAGTTATAGATCAAGTTTGAATTTTGTTCGGTCTGATGATTTAGTCCAGAGTTATGAAGAATTTTTTGGCAGGTATGTTTGTTATTTAGTATAAACTAATTTTCTGAATGCTATATATATAAAAAAAAAATTATGAAGAGAAATCCTTTAATTAGATAATAATCTATTTTTATTAATGTATATATTTCAATACATTACATTGTGTAGATAAAAGTTATTGACATTTTATAGATAAGTTACAAATCTATATTAGTTTGTGACAAATGAAAGAAAAAATATTTGGAACTATTAATTATATTTGATTATAATTTGAAAATAGATATACACTGTATTACATCATATCTAATTTTAGAGAACTATTAATCATATCTAATGGTTTTTTTTCATCATGCTTATAAGATATTGATTGATAATTGGTATATAGTTTTATCATGACAAGTTACAGATCAAGTTCAAATTTTTTTTTCGGTCTAATAATTTTGTGCAGAGTTATAGTCCTTGGACTTGAAAAATTCACTCATATAATCAGTTTTCCACGCTGTTTTTAGTCATGCTTGAAGATATTGACATGATATTTACTTTTTGTTTACACCATGACAAGTTATAGAACAAGTTAGCATTTTGTTCCAGTATAATGAATTTTTACCCGGTAGGGGACTATGTATTGCCATGCAATAATCTCAGAATGCTTGTTTTTTTGTAAATTTCTGATATGACATTGCAGAGTTATGGAACTTTATTAGTTGAAAAATTGTCGAAAACAGTCGAGTTGGTGACAGGCATATTATGCACTGATGGGGCAGCTCTTTATTTTCTTTGTCTAAGCTTATTATTTGCTTGTGGAAAAAGGAAAAAAAAATGATGCAGTTGTTTTGGTTTTGTTTATTGCCACTCTTTATATACACACATGTATACAATTTTCTAACACATACACCAAAGAGAAAGCAATCCCTGTGACACAAAATAAAAGACATCTTACCATGTCCCTTTGGTATCTTTTGCCTCTTTTACCATCAGATAAGTTCAAGGGACAGTTAATGTGGTGTTCTTGGTGAAAAAATACCACAAAACATGGCAAATTTAAGAATTTTTTCGCCAAATTGTATGTGATTTTGTACAAATGTTCACATATTTTGAAAGAAATCGTTCAGTAATATTTCAGAAAAAATAAAAGAAATAACTGCATTATTGTTTCAGTTTCTGTTCAAGTCTTATATACCGTAGATGTATGCAAAAATTTGACAAAAATCTGTGACATGACCCATTTACTGTAACTTGACATTAAGTTATTATAGAAGGCCAAAGACTTGTGCCAAACATAAATTTTCAAAAAACAGCTGATATTTTCTGGTTTAAATCTTTGCCAGTCTTTCACTAACACGTATAATGATCTATATATCCAAGATGAAGAACATTAACTCCAAAGGGCTGACAGGTTTGGCAAATTTGAACATCTTTGCATAAAAAGAGATGACTACTACATTGGATGAAGAAAGTCTGAATATTTCTGTGACTTTAGTTTGCCTCAACCAAATGTTTTTTTTTTTTTGCTCTGCATGTACTGATTTTTGTGTCATGGATGGATACCCCATATCTTTGTTTTTCTATTATACAAATGTTTTGTAGAGAGTTGATACGAGGGAGTCACCTAGTTCCATTAAGAATGCATGCAGCGGCTGATCCATTGTTACCTGTTGGTTCTGTCATACAGAATGATGCTGTATTAATGCAGGTATGGACAATTATAGAATTTTACCCAAATTTAATCACAAAGTTCAAATAGTCCTTTTTATTAGGGATGTTTCAGAATTAAATACATAGGGGCATGCATATTCGAGGCAATTTTTGAAGCCCCCAACCAGCCATAAAATAAAAATTTTCACTTAATTTATAATTTTTACAAAATTCTAAGGAAAATAAGACTGCACATATTTCATTGTTTTGAGTGACGACCATCCACCCCACTTGATAAATTTTGGAACAGTCCTTTTTCATTGTCAAATTCATATACACTGATTATTATGAAAATAACCAAAAATGTTTAACTATACAAAGCAATCATTCTCAGTAAAAATTAAAAGCGTGTATCATCAACCTTTCATCGTAATTTTTAAACCTTCTCAACAAATAACAAGTTTCTGCTGCCGATGCCATCTAATCAGTGAACAACATGAGCTTCCAAGATTACCAATGAAGATGTTCCTTCTCATGAAATGACATGACATCAGATGTCAAGTATAATTAATTTACCACTGCACGTTAAGCCAGCAAAGATCAATCACCCAAGTACAAAATAATGCATTGACTTTTCTGTTGATCTGTATTTTTTGTTTTTGTCTTTTTCAGATAAATTTTCCAGATTTTGGTTGTCATGTTGAATTTCCTACAGTAATGACATCTAAAATTTCGTAAGTTGGATATTTTATTGTCTTCCTTTATAGCTAACCTTGGTAATTTGTCAGAATTTGAAAAAAAGGTTAGATTTAAAATCCAACACAGCCATCCCATCCCTACTGTGAAATTTTCTTTTGTAACTAACCTCATTAAGCTGTCAGAATTAAAAAAAAATATGATTATGATCCAAAATCCAAGATGGCCACCCTCTTTGTGAACAACAGATATAGTAAAATTTGATCATTTCTTTACCATTATTTGTTTTGCTTTTGGAAAAATGGAATAATAGAAACCATATTGACCATAATAAATTTATGAACACATAATTTGACGGATATTCAGTAATAAATGCAAGTTCTATGTAATTTTGATTATTCAAATACAGTGATTGTGTTGAATTATATTGAAAAATTTGAATGTTTTTACCTTAACTTACATATTAACTTGAGCCATCATTGTCCAGTTCTAAAAAAAGATTAGTGATGGATTCACATTAAAGCATACAATTTATAAAGCACACATTTTTTATCAACGGCTTTTTAGTATATTATGGATATAACATTAGTTGGTATTTAACAAAGATTAAAGTCATTTTAAATATATAATGTATATTTGGGATTTAATAAAAGACAATATAAATTAAAAAAAAAATGATATAGGCATATGTAAATGACACAGGAACTAAAACATCAAAAAAATTTGAAAGACAATTAAATTATTAAATTAAGAATAGATTTTTTTAAGAAAATTTTTTACTATTTATTGTAGACAAAAGAGAAGTTTTAATTCACTATTATCAGAAATCCAAGAAGTTATTAAAACTGTGATGGAGAAAGATTGTATTTCATCGTAAGTAATAGAATCTATAGGTCTCAAATGAACTAATTGGTAATATTATTATAATGTCTTGATTTGGGGGGCAACAGAAAAGGAGGGAGAGCAATCTTGCGACCTGACGTCTCATTTAAAAGAACCTGTGATTTTTAAGAATGTTCAAAACTGTTTTATTTAAATGTAACCTGGTGACCTAAGGCAAATTTTAAACGTGACCTTGTGACCTAAGGGGTTATTCATCATAGCCACAGTAAAATGCAAGACAGGAAAAATGCATTTGTAACTTGACATCATGATTAATTCCCACCAATGAAAATATCAGAACAAGTAATCATATTTAAAAAAAAAAATCAAATAAACTTCTGGTTGGGTGAATTTTCAATCACCTAAAAATTTGAGAATTGAACAAATTAAAAGATTGGTCAAAAGTAAAAATTTTTTTCTTTAAATTCACTAGATATATTATTGAAAGGTGAGACATTACCTGGTAAGAATTTTTATTTCCAACTGGAACTTTTTGTTACTTGTTGTTATACCACTTGCAGTCTTCACGATAAACTTTTAAATCAACAGGCCCAGAGTTCATTTTTTGGAAAATTTAGTTAAATTCTGTTGGCCTGTGGAGATGATTTATACAGGCCCGAAAGGAATTTTGCAAGCCTTGGCTCCTGGGCCTGTGGTTAAGTGTGAAGACTGCACTTGACATCTGACATGTGGTTGCATAGTTATGACTTGAATTTACTTCATATTTAAGAATGTGTCTTTTAAAATATACCTTGTCAACATTTTATATAGATATGACCTTTGAACTATTTAGAAGGGAAGTAATACACTTTCCTTTAGAAACTTGATTATGATTGACAGGTAAGTTTCATATGAATGTACCGGTATGTTACTTAGTTCAAAGAAAGAAAGCTCTTGGCATACTTGTATAATATCTCTAAATTCTGCATTTGTTTTTGTTTTCTCAGATGTGTTTACATCTGTACATATCTGCTTACTTCTTCAACATTGACATCGTTTATTTGTTTTTTGGTTTTTAACAACACTTTTAGCTATCTTAGCTATATAATGGCAACCAATTTTGATTGGTGGATTAAGCCAGCGTACCTTGAGACTGAATTAATCTTTGGCAGGAAAATTGACAATCTGTCAAGATTGGAGTTGAACACATATTGTCAAAAGTGGGGTTCAAACTCACAACATCAGAGTTGACAGGCTAGTGGTCACTGTAGATGAAATACTTAGACCACTCTGCCACTGAGGCCCCAATTGGCAATGATGTGAAATGACCAAAGTTTTACATAAGCCATACGTATTGGCCAAATAGTAATGGTCAATGGTGGTAGTACCAAGGCAATAATGGGAAAAGGCATATTATTTGAATATTGGTATTATCCTATCTGCAAATAAACTTCAAATAAGAAAAGTCAACAAGTTTAGATGTGGGAAAATTGTGATGTTCTGAATTCTTGTACTGAAATATTTTCTCGTTGTGTTGAAGACCCATTGGTGGCCTTGGGTTGTTTTCTGCTCTTTGGTCGGGTTGTTGTCTCTTTGACACATTCCCCATTTCCATTCTCAATTTTATCATTAACTTAAGTCTTTTTGTATTTGTATCAGTTTCTTTTCGTACTGAAATTTCTTTATATCTTTGTTTTCTTAGCTTGTCAAAATGTGCTTAAACTTATGAAGGTATAAGGCTGCGATATATATTTTTCAAATCTTTCCCTTTCGTATACAATATATACAAAACTCTTAAAGCCTGTGACAGAATAATTTTCAGTGACTCTTTTCACAAAAAAAAATGGAAATGGTTGGTAAGTGTACATGAGATACAAGGTTAAAAGGAAGTAATTAAAGATGACTGGCACCACCTAGTTTTTACATCCAAGATAATAGGTAGAAGTAAATTTATTTTCTGCTGCCCTGTTAATTAGAAAACAAAATTGAAATAGTGAGAAATGAGTGTTGGCTTTTGGTGTAGAAATAGCTAGAAATTTGAAGGAAACTGTCTGTGACAAGCAAAATTTTCTGAGCAAAATTAAGCAAGAGGTGTTCTTCATTCATACTATTTCGAAAATTACGGAACCATAGAGTACCCTTAAAAAATGCCATTTTTCTATCAAAAAAGCTGCGGCACTACATGTGTTTTTCAGTTTTATTCACACCCAAAGGTGTTGATAATTCAGAATTTGACAGTCTTATCAACAGATCTTTTATAGTAAAAACGCAGGACCCAAAAAGGCTACCATTGTCGCCTCTGTAAATAATTACTTCATTTTAACCACAAATGTTTTTCTGAATAAAAAATTTATGAAAAGAGTCTCAGATCTTTTATGTTATTGCCAGGAATTTGAAGCTCCCTTATAATAAATTCACTTTATTTTTTATTATACTAAATTAACATTTTCTTTTGTCAAATCCTTGCTGCTTACATTTAAGATATGTTTGAGAAATTTGTAATTTATGGTAAGTCAATATTGAACACACTCGAATGGGAAGAAGGGGTTTGTTGATTTTGTTGAAATTTAATAAGAGGTGACCTTCAAGACATTCTAATATGACGTTCTTCTTTCGCTTTGGAAACAAAGCCATGTTCTAATTCCAATAAAACATTGACATCACAATTGAAATTGCGACTTCAGTTGTATTTTGAACAACGTTGGAGATCAAAATGGATATTTGTGTTGGTGTTGCTCGCTAGGAAAATAAATAAAATCTTTCTAAAAGTAAGTTTACATGTATCTGTTCATTTTTTATTGTGAAACTGTTGATTTTCTGTAACATTTTGGCTTCATAAAATGAAAATGGCTGCCTTTCTAACGTGTATTATAGGTCCACTAAGAAGTACCAAAGTTCTATATTTTCTTATTAGAATCTAAATAATTCTATCATGCCATGCTCTTTGCTCACTTTAACATGGGTAGGCATTATATTTGACAACATTTTACACCAGGCTAACGCTCGGTATAAAGATATTGAAAAATATACCGTAATGCCTACCCGTGTTAAAATGAGCATAGAGCATGGCATGAAAGAATTATTTCTTAATTTGATGATTTTAAAAGGGTGAATGTTTACATTTGACAGAAAAAAATACACAAAATAAAACATACTAACTCCTTAGGAAGAACTTAAATTTGATATTTACTTTTATGTTTAATATGTTTTTACAGATGCCAGGCAGATGAGTTGGGAATTTTGTGGCAATACAGACATTATTTATATGACAATCCAAATCTGTTACCATGGATACTACAGGGACAGATAAACTGGGATTTTTCACATTTATCAGAAATATATGATTTGCTAGGACTTTGGAAGAAGTTAGATCCCATGCAGTCATTGGAGCTATTACTTCCTCAGTATGTTTTAAGTTTGTTTTTTGTAACGTGATATAAATTGTTAACTATGAAATTAAAAACAAATTATATAAAATACATTTTAAAATCTGAAACTTTTAATTTAGTGCATTTATTTATTTATACTGCGAATCCTTGACCACTGGCAAAAAATCGGTTTAATAAATGCTATTGCAAACATTTTAAGATCAAAACCACTACTGAAATTTTTCTCATTTATAAAAAAATTGCAATAATTACAGAATTTACATTAACTTGATTGTGTTAAGATATGTTTTATCACTTTTAAAAATATTTATTTTCTGTTCCAAGCCAAGAACCTCATTAGCGGTTGTGTTTTGTCATATCTTATTTTGATTTTTTGTCATTTTGGGAAATTTGGTGTTGAGGACAGATCTATGATAGTCTCTGTTCAGTGGCAGATTCAGGGGGGGGGGGGGGGGGTTCTGGGGGTTGGAGCCCCCCCTTTTGTTTTGATGATCAATGCTTTTGAATGGGGACATATGGCCATGGTTGGAACCCCCCTTTTAAAAATGACTGGATCCGCCCCTTCTGTTATATTGCTCACTTTTTTTTTAAAGACGCAGTTCAACCTTTGCATATTGTATTGACCTTTCTATTTGTGAATACTAAATGCTGACCTCTAACTATCTTTGGTTTTTTTGTTTTGTTGGGTTGCTGTCTAATGGATGTATAGCCCCATATCTCCTTTTCACGTTTTTTAAAACTAAAAGGGAAGGTTTTGTCCTAAATGTTGAAGTTATAGCCAATGAGACAACTATCCGCCAAAGTTCAAATAAAGTGGATGTATGCAATTATAGGCAACTGTACTGCCTTCAACAATGAGAAAAACCCATACTGTATAGTCAGCTTTAAAAGGCCCCGACATGAAAAATATGAAACAATTCAATTGAGAAAACTAACAGCCTAATTTGTAACAAAACAATGAACCAAAAACAAATATGACAGACATGAACCAACGACAACCACTGAACTACAGGCTCCTTACTTTATGATAAAGTTACATGTTAAGTAAAATTCAGTTTTAAATGTTTCACAAAGATCTTTTTAAAAGTAGTCATTTTGGGATTTGACTTATCTTCTATGTATTTGTAATACATTAGGAAATGAGAAAAATAATCCAGTTGATTAACTGCACAGAGAGAAGATCACATGTTATATTGTAAAAGTAGAAAAAAAATCGTGAACAAGTATGAATAAATGTGATGATAAAAGGATGTTATGAAAAAAGTAAAATAACAAAAATACTGAACTTTAAGGAAAATTCAAAACAGAAAGTCCTTTATCAAATGGCAAAATCAAAAGCTCAAACACATCAAACGAATGGAAAACAACTGTCATATTCCTGACTTGGTACAGGCATTTCCTTATGTAGAAAATGTTGGATTAAACCTGATAAAAATTACTACATCAACTACTATTGTTAAATTGTCAAGATGCATGAAATTTAAATTACCGTAATCAATTTCACCGTAAGATGATTTGTTGACCTGTATCTCTTTGTTTACAGATATTCAGACACACATGTGAGAGAGTTTGCATGTAGATGCTTGCAAGATATGCCTACTGATGAACTCATTGATTTTCTTCCTCAACTTATACAGGTATGAAATTGTACTTCCTTTTTAAGTAGATTTTGAAGTCCTAAAACCTGTCAAACGTACATAATGATGTTAATATTTTTATATCAAGAATTTTTTTTTCTGTTAAACAAATTAATAGTTTCTATAAAATCATGACTATCAAAAGAAAAAATAATGGCAAATGACTTGTATTTTGTTGAAGATTTTCCTTAAAATTCCAGGTGGGACCTACAAAAATAAGTCACATTTGGAGACAAAAATGTGCTCTTGGCTAAAAATTTGATTTAGTGATAGATAAAACAAGCCTTTATTCATTTCAGGCATTGAAGTTTGAAAGTTACCATGGATCAGCATTAGCTAAACTGTTACTTGAGCAATCCTGTAAAAGTATTCGATTTGCTCATCAGCTCTTTTGGTAAGAAATATAGGATTGTGGTTAACCCAGAGATTGAGTAAAAATTTCACAAGGACTGTATATGATAAAAATTTGTAAGGGTTCCGCGGAACCCAGTGTCTCGCCTACTTTTTCTGTTAATTGCAGGCTCAACAAAAATGAGGAAGTAAATCAATAAAAATATTTCACTTGATACTATCTTTTGATTGTAAGAAGCTTCTGTCCAAGTTTGGTAAAAATCTAGGATAGTTTATGAATCTAATAAATTTTTAAAAACTTTAACTGCAGACTGAATATAATGTTAACTGGAAGAAAACAAAATTTCCCTCTAGATACTAGTATTTGATCATAAACAAGCTTCTGTCATTGTCTGTCCAAGTTTGGTACAAATCCAAAATAGTATAAGAAAGTTATTAAAATTTTAAAAACTTTAACCACAGAGTGAATGTGTTGTTTCCTGGCAGAAAATCCAAGTCCATTTAAAAGTAAAATACAGAAAAAATGGATTTATTTTTTTACAAAATTTCCTTCTAGATACTAGCTTTTGATAATAAACAAGCTTCTGTCCAAGTTTGGTACAAACCCAGGATAGTTTAAGAAAGTTATTAAAATTTTAAAAACTTTAACCACAGAGTGAATGTAATATTTCCCGGCAGAAAAACTAAGTCCATTTATAAATAAAATACGGAAAAAATGGAATTTTATTTTTACAAAATTTACTTCTGGATACTATCTTATGATCATAAACAAGCTTCTGTCCAAGTTTGGTAGAAATCCAGGATAGTTTAAGAAAGTTATTAAAATTTTAAAAACTTTAACCACAGAGTGAATATTTGTGGACACCGCCGAAGATGACGACGACGACGCCGACGACGACGCCGACGGAATGTAGGATCGCTATGTCTCCCTTTTTCGACTAAAGTCGAAGGCTCGACAAAAATGGCTTCATTTTTTGTCAATTTGTTTTCAGTGATGAGAATTTTTCTTATATGACAGACCCCTACTTCCTGTTTTCCGATGATTTTAGTTCAAAAGAGATTATGCTAAGCATTGACAATGCATGAATGTTCTTGTTTGTAATTAGAGACATTTGTAACAGCATTAACCATGTTCTTCTTATTTGATCGATGAAATAGTATATTAAAAAAAAATTTGGTTTGCTGTCATATTTATGTTACTTTATGTATCATTTAGGTTGTTAAAAGGTGCTGCTCAAGACCAGGGATATAAAAGACGATATGAGTTAATGTTTGTTGCACTGGTCAGTGTGGCCGGTGATGCACTGTATCAGGAGTTTAAAAAACAGGAAGAAATGGTCAAATATCTGACACAAACATCGGAAAGAGTTCAAGTGGCTAAAGACAAGGATGTAAGTATACAAATAATCAATATAGAACTTATTGTGAAATATGTACTGATTATCAGGTTTTCTGCTAATTGATATAAATGTATTAAAATGTTAGCTGTGAGTCACAATATGAAGCTTTTTTTGTGGATGTGCACATCAAGTGCACTTGTGTCAAGCAGCTGATATTGCACAATAGTTTTAAGTAAATAAATATAAATATAAAATCTGATTTGTTATATTTGATTTTTATGCCCCACCTACGATAATAGTAGGGGCATTATGTTTTCTGGTCTGTGCGTCCGTTTCTTTCGTACGTCCGTTCGTCTGTCTGTCCCACTTCAGGTTAAAGTTTTTTGGTCAAGGTAGTTTTTGATGAATGTGAAGTCCAATCAACTTGAAACTTAGTACACATGTTCCCTTTGATATGGTCTTTCTGATTTTAATGCCAAATTAGAGTTTTGACCCCAATTTCATGATCCTCTGAACATAGAAAATGATAGCGCGATGTGTGTACTATGGACACATTCTTGTTTTTATATAGTATGCATGCAAGTTTTTCTTTGTTTCACAAGCTAATGGGAAGGAGAATTTATATAAGTTCTGGTTCAACTTATCAACTTAGGTCTAATTTATCAATTTCTGGTCTAGCTTATCAACTTTGAATCAAACTTATCAGTTCAAACATTATAAAATTGTTGACAAGTCTAAAAATTTTATTAAATTTTTGGTTTGCAGATTTTTTATGCCAACTGATTCATTTACTTTGACTATAGATATTTTCTATGTTGTCTACAGATCAAATCTTAAAAATTTTGGTACTTAACACTGATATTTTATGGCCCATTCCTTAAAAAATGTGATGCAGTTTGTATCATCTTTAGAATACAAATATTGAGATAAATTTTCTATAATTATAACAGACATATACATCTAAAGTTTTTAATTTTGATTTCAGAATACACTGAAGAGAGAGTTACAAACTGTATATGAGTTATTCCATGACAAAGGAGACGTATTAATGCCATACAACCCTGGTATATCTGTTTGTGGCCTTGATCTGAAAGTAAGCATTGTATTCCATTTTTTCGCTGAACTAGTACACATTTTTGTTTAGGGGCCAGCTGAAGCCTGCATCCGGTTGCGGGATTTAATCGCTGTGTTGAAAACCCATTGATGGCCTTGGGCTGTTTTCTGCTCTTTGGTTGGGTTGTTGTCTCTTTGACACATTCCCCATTTCCATTCTCAGTTTTATTATATTTTTGGTATACCCCATATTTTTTCTTGCGGACAGGATAGCACTTTCGTTTATTGTCAGAAGAATTCTTATCAGCTCCTTTTAACATTTGTATGAAGGTTTCCACTCACCGAATCAACAAAAACCTGATAATGTGATATGAATATAAACCCTACTTTGTACTAGACGGGCATATTAAAGATTTGGGTTCTTTGGCTTGTTCACTAAAGTTTCAAGTTTTTGTCGAGCCTGCGACTTTTGTCGCAGAAAGCTTGACATAGGGATAGTGATCCGGCGGCGGCGGCGGCGGCGGCGTTAGCTAACTTCTTAAAAGCTTTATATTTTAGAGGGTGGAAGATCTGGATGCTTCATACTTTGTATATGGATGCCTCATGTTACGAAGTTTCCGTCAGTCACATGTCCAATGTTCTTGACCTCATCTTCATGGTTCAGTGACTACTTGAAAAAAAAGTTAAGATTTTTTGTAATGTTAAATTCTCTCTTATTATAAGTAATAGGATAACAATATTTGGTATGTGCGTACCTTGCAAGGTCCTCATGCCCGTCAGACAGTTTTCACTTGACCTCGACCTCATTTCATGGATCAGTGAACAAGGTTAAGTTTTGGTGGTCAAGTCCATATCTCAGATACTATAAGCAATAGGTCTAGTATATTCAGTGTATGGAAGGACTGTAAGGTGTACATGTCCAACTGGCAGGTGTCATCTGACCTTGACCTCATTTTCATGGTTCAGTGGTTATAGTTAAGTTTTTGTGTTTTGGTCTGTTTTTCTTATACTGTATGCAATAGGTCTACTATATTTGGTGTATGGAATGATTGTAAGGTGTACATGTCTAACTGGCAGGTGTCATCTGACCTTGACCTCATTTTCATGGTTCAGTGGTTATAGTTAAGTTTTTGTGTTTTTGTCTGTTTTTCTTATACTGTATGCAATAGGTCTACTATATTTGGTGTATGGAATGATTGTAAGGTGTACATGTCTAGCTGGCAGGTGTCATCTGACCTTGACCTCATTTTCATGGTTCAGTGGTCAAAGTTAAGTTTTTGAGTTTTGGTCTGTTTTCCTAATACTGTATGCAATAGGTCTACTATATTTGGTGTATGGAAGGACTGTAAGGTGTACATGTCCAACTGGCAGGTGTCATCTGACCTTGACCTCATTTTCATGGTTCAGTGGTCATAGTTAAGTTTTTAAGTTTTGGTCTGTTTTTCTTATACTGTATGCAATAGGTCTACTATATTTGGTGTATGGAATGATTGTAAGGTGTACATGTCTAGCTGGCAGGTGTCATCTGACCTTGACCTCATTTTCATGGTTCAGTGGTCAAAGTTAAGTTTTTGAGTTTTGGTCTTTTTTTCTAATACTGTATGCAATAGGTCTACTATATTTGGTGTATGGAATGATTGTAAGGTGTACATGTCTAGCTGGCAGGTGTCATCTGACCTTGACCTCATTTTCATGGTTCAGTGGTTATAGTTAAGTTTTTGTGTTTTTGTCTGTTTTTCTTATACTGTATGCAATAGGTCTACTATATTTGGTGTATGGAATGATTGTAAGGTGTACATGTCTAGCTGGCAGGTGTCATCTGACCTTGACCTCATTTTCATGGTTCAGTGGTCAAAGTTAAGTTTTTGAGTTTTGGTCTTTTTTTCTAATACTATATGCAATAGTTCAACTATATTTGGTGTATGGAAATATTTTATGATCTATATGTCAGTCACACAGGTTTTATTTGACCTTGACCTCATTTTCAAGGTTCATTGCTCAGTGTTAAGTTTTTGTGTTTTGGTCTGTTTTTCTTAAACTATAAGCAATAGGTCAACTATATTTGTTGTATGGAAGAATTGTGAGCTGTACATGCCTGCCTAGCATGGTTCATCTGACCTTGAACTCATTTTCATGGTTCATTGGTCAATATTTAGTTTACTTGGTTAATGTTAAGTTTATGTGACAGTTAGTTAACGTTGTAATAAAGCTTTATATTTAGGACTATCAACATAATATCAATGATTAGTAAAGAAGGCGAGACATTTCAGTGTGTGCACTCTTGTTAACATTTTATTATGCAATTAGCAAGGATGTTTAAAAATTTGTTTATTAGGTACTGCAAAACAGAAACTTTTTATATGGAGCATATAATTAACCAGCTATACAAATATATTTGTATGTGCATATATATATTTATAAAGTTATGTGAAGCAACAACATTTATTACAATTGATCATTCATTTAACAGGACTATTTTCATTAATTTTGTTTACTGGTATATAAAAATGTTATTGACTTCCATACTTTTTTATTTCAGTCATGTTCATATTTTACTTCAAATGCCGTTCCATTAAAACTTGTGTTTAAGAATTCCAAGCAGCATGCTGATCCTGTATACTCTATGTTTAAGGTAAGATTATTCATTATGTTATGAATATAAAGATATATCGGATATATGTTAAAGAGACAGCAGTTGCAAATCCAAAAACTGAGTCAGTGTTCTCCCCAGGCCGTTTTAGCGTCGCGGCACCAAGACGCTATATTTTTTTCCGTGATGCTATAATAATTTCCGCGACGCTATGATTATTTTGAGGATGCTATTTTTCTTGTCTCTATATGGCAAAACCATGTCCTAAATTTCGAACTTCCATCTAATTACCGCTTGTGATCATAAAAATTCTATCACCTTTAATTGTAGTCCCTTCAAGTCGGACAATAGAGGCAATTTAGAGTGATTAAATAGGTGTTAATTGCCCTTTAGGTGATAACTGTATGGATACGAATACCCCAAGCTGACACTTGTGACATGACTAATACCATGTGGTCCAATCGCAAATTTCAACATGAAGGAAATGTAATCAGAAAATCAAAAAACAATTCGAAATCTACGTTTGCATAATCAAAATTCAAAGATACAAACGATTTCTCTCTTTAGAAAAGAGGTTAGGTCGTATATTTTTACAACTTTAAAAAAATTACTTTCTTTCATTTCTGGTACTACTAGTTAATCGAGAGCATATATTAAACATTTTGATTTTGAGATAAATAAGTTTGATACTTCTTTAGAAAGATATCATAATTGGCTTTAGTTAATGTTTCATCTATTTAATGCATTAAAAGTGTCACATTCATTTCCAATCTCTTGTTAAACATTGTTTATTTTCAAAAATTTTTCTTCCGGCGCCATTGAAATATTTGTGTAAACTACGGATCGGAACCGGACCAGATATGACAAAATTCTGCATTTCTACGATGATAACTACAGATGCACAAAGGGCACAGTAGACAGAAAAAAAAAATGATCACAAAAGAGAAAACTACGCATTCCACACTCATTAACAGACTATTTATCATATATCTTTGCTAAATGTATTCTTTTTGAAAATACATTGTTTTAATATACTGACTAAAGTAGCTTAACTTTGTTAAAAATATATATCATTTTGATATAAAGAAACAACTGGGACATAATTCATTGAGTACCATGAAACAATGAATTTCATAGACATGATAAAGAAAAAAGTTTTTTAATTGAAATTTTATTGCTATATGATACTTTCTCTTCCCTTTTTAGCTCACCGGGGCCCCTTTGGGCCCCATGTGAGCTTATGCCATCACTTGGCGTCCGTCGTCGTTCGTCGTCTATCGTCGTCATTGTCTGTCATAGTAAACTATTTCAAAAATCTTCTCCTCTGAAACTACTGGGCCAAATACCTTCAAACTTTAACTAAATGTTCCTTAGGGTATCTAGTTTATAAATTGTATCCGAAGTTTTGATCCATCGACAAACGTGGCCGCCATGGCTAAAAATAGAACATAGGGGTCAAATGCAGTTTTTTGCTTATATCTAAAAAACTAAAGCTTTTAGAGCAAATCTGACATGGGATAAAATTGTTCAATTGATCAAGATCTATCAGCTCTAAAATTTTCAGACGAATCGAACAACTCATTGTTGGGTTGCTGCCACTAAATTGGTAGTTTTAAGGATATTTTGCAGTTTATATACGGCCGCAAAAAAATTTTTGTGGTCGTATATTGGTATGACGTTGGCGTCGTCGTCAATCTGTGTCGCCCGAAGACACATTGGTTGTCGCACTCTAACTTTAGTTTAAGTGAATGGATCTCTATGAAATTTTACCACAAGGTTCAATACCACAAAAGGAAGGTTGGGATTGATTTTGGGGGTTATGGTACAAACAGTAAAGGAATTAGGGGCCAAAAAGGGGCCAAAAATAATCATTTTTGTAACTTCCAGACATAACTTGTGTGTTAGTGTATGGATCTCTCTGACATTATACCACAAGGTTCCATATCACAAAAGGAATGCTGGGATTGATTTTGGGGGTAATTGCCTCAAAATTTTAGGAATTACGGGCCTAAAAAGGGGCAAAAAACAAGCATTTTTCTAGTTTCATGACAATAACTTATGTGTAAGTGTATGGATCTTTCTGAAATTGTACTACAAGGTTCCATATCACAAAGGGAAAGCTGGAATTGAGTTTGGGGGTAATTGCCGAAACGTTTAGGAATTGAGGGCCAAAAAGGGGCCAAAAATAAGCATTTTTCTAGTTTCCAGACAATAACTTGTGTTCAAGTGTATGGATCTCTCTGAAATTGTACTGCAAGGTAACATACCACACAGGGAAGGCTGGGATTGATGATGGGGGTAATTGCCTCAATATTTTAGGAATAAGGGGCCAAAAAGGGGCAAAAAACAAGCATTTTTCTAGTTTCAGGACAATAACTTGTGTGTAAGTCTATGGATCTTTCTGAAATTGTACTACAAGGTTCCATATCACAAAGGAAAAGCTGGGTTTGAGTTTGGGGGTAATTGCCCTAAATGTTTAGGAATTTGGGGCCAAAAAGGGGCCAAAAAACACATTTTTCTAGTTTCCAGACAATAACTTGTGTTCAAGTGTATGGATCTCTCTGAAATTGTACTGCAAGGTACCATACCACAAAGGGAAGGTTGGGATTGAGTTTGGGGGTGATGAATCATAAGGGGGTTCAAAATATTTGGGGGTGGGGGTTTCCTTTTTTTTCTTTTTTTCCTTTTTTTTTCTTTTAAATTTTTCCATTTTAAGTTGGTTATTTCTGATTTATATTTAAAAGCAAATAATAATGATATGGTAGGAGATACACACCAAACAGGATGTGTAAATTATTATATAATAAGTATTATGCAATAGCAAGAAATTTTCAATTGCACAGTATTGCACAATAGCAAGAAATCTTCAATTGCACAGTATTGCGCAATAGCAAGAAATCTTCAATTGAACAGTATTGCGCAATAGCAAGAAATATCCAATAGCACAATATTGCGCAATAGCAAGAAATTGTCAATTGTACAGTATTGCGCAATAGCAAGAAATATTTAATTGCACAGTATTGTGCAAAAGAAGATACTTCGTATAAATTGCTTATTTCTTGACCAATTTCAATGGGGTTTTATTCTTGAATTCTTGGGGTTCTTTAATATGCTGAATCTAACCGTGTATTTAGTTTTTGGATTTTGGGCCCCGTTTTTAAATTAGTCCACATTGAGGTCCAAAGGGTCCAAAATTAAACTTTGTTTGATTTTATCAAAAATTGAATTATTGGGGTTCTTTATTATGCCGAATCTAACTGTGTATTTAGATTCTTAATTTTTGGTTCCGTTTTCAAATTGGTCTACATTAAGGTCCAAAGGGTCCAAAATTAAACTTAGTTTGATTTTATCAAAAATTGAATTCTTAGGGTTCTTTGATATGCTGAATCTAAACATGTATTTAGATTTTTGATTATGGGCCCAGTTTTCAAGTTGGTCCAAATCGGGGTCCAAAATTAAACTTTGTTTGATTTCAACAAAAATTGAATATATGGGGTTCTTTGATATGCTGAATCTAACTATGTATTTAGATTTTTGATTTTTGGGCCCCGTTATCAACTTTGTCCACATTGAGGTTAAAAGGGTCCAAAATTAAACTTTGTTTGATTTCATCAAAAATTGAATTCTTGGGGTTCTTTGATATGCTGAATCTAACCATGTATTTAGATTTTGGATATTGGACCATAATAGGTGAATGTCCAATTTAAAATTTTTAAGTTCTTAGACCACATTCATTCTGTGTCAGAAACCTATGCTGTTTCAAATATTTAATCACAATCCAAATGCAAAGCTGTATCAAGCTTGAATGTTGTGTCCATACTTGCCCCAACTGTTCAGGGTTTGACCTCTGCGGTCGTATCAAGCTGCGCCCTGCGGAGCATTTTATTTTTTATTATCTTGAATATTATTATAGATACCGTAGATACTCGCCTAATAGTCGATCCTACTATAAGTCTGGGGCCCTTTTCAGCTCCAAATTCTAAGGATTTAGTCTTGACCCTCGTATAAGTCGGACAAAATTTGGGTTTTTTTTTTTCAGCTGACAGTAACTGAACGCCGGTAAAACCAATGCAAATCCAGGAATAATATTCATTTCTGCATTAATGTTTGTTTGGTTTGAATTTAGTTGATGCTCATCATGATAATTTATATTGCTGTTAATAATAAAGATGTATTCATTTCTCTTGTTTTGTTCACTGTTCAAATGTTAGATTAGCCATGTGTTGTTTACGTAATGCATCAATGATTTTGTAGGGTATGACTAACAACCTATTGTTTGAGAAAAGCGAATATAAACCAATATGAACCTGAAAAATTTAAAGTCAATCAACACTTGATGAAAATATTTTACACAGCATACATAACTCGGTGTTAAATGAGCATGTACACTTCATAATTCTTATTATATTGTGATGATTAAAGGATTAAAAAAATTAAGTGAAGCTAATCAATATATTAAAATAACTAACTCAAACTCATTAGTGTCATCTGTTTACCTATCACTGATAGTTTTCACACCTTTAGTAAATACAACTCTTTGTCTCTTAATTGGGGTTATCAATGGATTATATTGACTTGTCAATCAATTTTGTAATTTGTTTACTGAGACACTTTAATGAATAATATTTTGATTTTGGGAATGAATCTTAAAATTATTTTTTGATTATTATATGATTTATAAGCATTGAATTGATATCATGATATCACAATAATGACACAATAACTCCGCTGAAAACATCCTTTCACATATTTGGTACATTATTATCTCCTTTTCATTTTTGGTTCTTGGCTCTTCTTTTGGGTTTATAGGAAAACCATGTGACCATGAAAATCAATACACAAACCGGAAACAGTAGAATTTCAACACGAATTTGCAGAAAATGTTTACCAAAGAACAAATAAAACACAAAGACAGTATTGTAGTCATTTATTTTCAACAAAAACTTTTTATTTATTGATTTATGTAGGTTAGGCAATCAAAAACGTAGTTTTGACCAGGAAATTCACTCCTGACCACTTTTCTCAAGCTTGGATTTTTCCTCTGGTCGCTAGATCTCGTCTATTAGTCGGTCCCCCTCTCTGGATTATGAATTTTACTCCCAATTTTCCGACTAATAAGCGAGTAGGAACGGTAGATATAAACTGTAAACAGCAATAATGTTCAGCAAAGTAAGATCTACAAAAAAGTTTATATGACCAAAATTATCAATTGACCCCTTAAGGAGTTATTGCCCTTTAAAGACAATTTTACACAATTTGTTCATCAAGTTTGCTAACATTTAAAAATCTTCTTCTCTGAAACTACTGGGCCAAATACCTTCAAACTTCATCTAAATGTTCCTTAGGATATCTAGTTTATAAATTGTATCCGAAGTTTTAATCCATCGACAAACATGGCCGCCATGGATAAAAATAGAACATAGGGGTCAAATGCAGTTTTTTGCTTATATCTAAAAAACTAAAGCTTTTAGAGCAAATCTGACATGGGGTAAAATTGTTTAATTGATCAAGATCTATCAGCCCTGAAATTTTCAGACAAATCGAACAACCCATTGTTGGGTTGCTGCCACTAAATTGGTTGTTTTAAGGAAATTTTGCAGTTTTTAGTTATTATTTTGAATATTATTGAAGATAAAGATAAACTGTAAACAGCAAAAATGTTCAGCAAAGTAAGATCTACAAAAAAGTTTATATGACCAAAATTGTCAATTGACCCCTTAAGGAGTTATTGCCCTTTAAGGACAATTTTACACAAGTTGTTTTATGTTTTTCAACTTTCAAAATCTTCTCAAATGAATCTAGTATAAATTTTGTATTTCATTTCCTTGTACGTCAAGAAACATAGACACTATGGCTAAAATGGAACATATGGGTAAAAAGCAAAAATAATCATTGATGAAAGATTTAAGCAAAAAAAATAACAGGTGAGCGATTCAGGCTCTTGAGAGCCTCTTGTATATAAAAACCAGTTCTTTTTTTTTTGCTAGATATTTAGTATTGTATATATACAGGTTGTACTATAATAAACCATTCATTCATTCATTTAGTTGAGTAGGTAGGGTAACTGGAACCACACATATATTTTTATTTGGCCCAAGAGGAAAAAATAATTCTGTAACTATAAATGAATATAGAAAACATAAACTGAAACAACTGTTATCATGGTTATAGTTTAATTGTATTCTCAGTTATGAATTGAACAATATAAACATATATAACATAAAGGAAATAGAGCATCGCTGCAACGCATCAAATGACATTGAAAAAAAATACAGTTTATATTTTTACACCAAATGTGATGCTATCCAAAATTTCTGGGGAGAACACTGCGGGTCATGGCATTTCATTTTTTTTTTTTCTATGGCAGTTAAGTAATGATTTACTGAGAATTCCAAATTTATTTTCTTTAAAATGAAAATATAGAAAAAGGAAATGTAGTATGATTGACATTGAGACTACTATCCAACAGAGACCAAATGACATACATGTTAACATAAAAAGATTGATTGTAAAAAACAATAAACATACAAAAAATCCCTGCTGAAATTTCATTTTGTAACGTGAATTCTGTACTGGTTTTCTTAAAATTTACTGTTATATCTTCTTACGGCTATTCTAGAAAAAAATGTATGGGGGGGAGTTGGATGGCAGTTCTTTTCAACACCCACCACCCATATAATTGTAATTGAGAATCATAGTGCATTATAGTGTGAAAATTTGCTCTGATACCCATCACCCATGTATTATTAATATAAAGTGCCTTCCAACCCCCAACCCCCCCATACATTTTTTTCTGGAATAGCCCTTAATATATCTTAATTAAGACACTTACTACTATGTTATTGTAGGTTGGTGATGATTTACGACAGGACATGTTAACACTACAGATGATAAGAATTATGGACAGATTGTGGTTAAAACAAGGACTAGATCTGAAAATGATTACGTTTTCTTGTCTTGCTACAGGACCTAAGAAGGGTAATATAATTATGCATAACTAAATATGTGAATAATTATGAATAATAATGAAAAAAGGAGTTGTGGGATATACCTCCATGAGACAGCAATCAAACAACAACAAAAAACAAATTCATCTTAAACGGTCAGATTATTCTGACCCCAAAATTGACCCATGTATTTGCTTCCCTTTGCTAGGTGGAGAATAAGCAGAAATTTTTTTTTAATTTGAAATCTTTGGTTTTACCTTGCCAAAAATAAAACTCGCAATTTGTTTTGCAAGTATGCTACCATTATACGGACAAGTAAGTTTTTTAATCACAAAAGAGCTTTTATTTAAATCTCATCTTTGTATGATGGTCAGTGGAATCTTATTATTATGAAGGTTATAACCAATGAACAACTAAACTGCTTGAATGTGTATTTAGTACATAATTTTTTTAAGTGAACCATGAATTTTTAAAACAGTACTCTATCATGTCTATTCCAATTTGATGTTAAAATTATAATTTTTTTAGTTAATAAGTTTGTGTTAGTTTTTTTCTAAAATTGGCATATATTTGTTAAATATCCTATTAAAATTAATTATATTACTAGTATTTTTTATACGACCGCAAAAAAATTTTTGTGGTCGTATATTGGTATGACGTTGGCGTCGTCGTCGTCCGGCGTCGTCGTCGTCCGAATACGCATTAGTTTTCGCACTCTAACTTTAGTTTAAGTGAATGGATCTCTATGAAATTTTACCATAAGGTTCAATACAACAAAAGGAAGGTGGGGATTGATTTTGGGGGTTATGGTACCAACAGTTAAGGAATTAGGGGCCAAAAAGGGGCCAATAATAAGCATTTTCTAGTTTCCAGACAATAACTGTGGAACGGTGTATGGATCTCTCTGAAATTATACTACAAGTTTCCATACCACAAAGGGATGGTTAGGATTTGCTTTGGTGGGTTATGGCTCAAACCGTTTAAGAATTAGGGGCAAAAAAGGGGGAAAAACAAGGTTGTCCTGGTTAATGGACAAATACTTTAGTACAAAACATAATTTAAAGCAGTGTAAGGGAGATAAATCAAATACATCATTGAAATTATCTCCCTTACACTGCTTTTAAATTATGTATAAAGTAATGGTTAATGAACAATTAAGATAATTTAAAACAGTGTAAGGGAGGTAATCCAAATACAACGTTTTGGTTACTTCCCTTACACTGCTTTTAAATTATGTTTAAAGAAATGCATATTTATAAAGGAAGACCAGTAAAAATATCTGCAAATGTTGCATCTTTTTTTTTTACAAAAAAATCCATATGAAAGATTTGACACTATATTTTAAATTCTATTAGAAAGAATTATTCTTCAAATATTATTTTTTTTTCAAATTTCAAATATTGAAAAATTTCAAGAAGTAATCTTTAATTGCATAGTATGGCACATTAGATTTGTAAAATCTTTGACCACATTTATTTATTTGTTATGCCGAATCTAACCGTGTATTTAGATTTTTAATTTTGGATCCAGTTTTCAAATTGGCCTACATTAAGGTCCAAAGGGTCCAAAATTAAACTTTGTTTGATTTTAACAAAAATTGAATATATGGGGTTCTTTGATATGCTGAATCTAAACATGTATTTAGATTTTTGATTTTTGGCCCAGTTTTCAAGTTGGTCCAAATTGGGGTCCAAAATTAAACTTTGTTTGATTTCAACAAAAATTGAATATATGGGGTTCTTTGATATGCTGAATCTAACCATGTATTTAGATTTTTTATTTGTGGACCCCGCTATCAAATTGGTTCATATTGAGGTCAAAAGGGTCCAAAATTAAACTTTGTTTGATTTCATCAAAAATTGAATTATTGGGGTTCTTTGATATGCCAAATCTAACCGTGTATTTAGATTTTTAATTTTGGGTCCCGTTTTTTAAATTGGTCTACATTAAGGTCCAAAGGGTCCAAAATTAAACTTAGTTTGATTTTAACAAAAATTGAATTTTTGGGGTTCTTTGATATGCTGAATCTAAACATGTGTTTAGATTTTTGATTATGGGCCCAGTTTTCAAGTTGGTCCAAGTTGGGGTCCAAAATTAAACTTTGTTTGATTTCAACAAAAATTGAATATATGGGGTTCTTTGATATGCTGAATCTAAACATATATTTAGATTTTAGATTTTTGGCCCAGTTTTCAAGTTGGTCCAAATTGGGGTCCAAAATTAAAATTTGTTTGATTTCAACAAAAATTGAATATATGGGGTTCTTTGATATGCTGAATCTTACCATGTATTTAGATTTTTTATTTGTGGGCCCGCTATCAAATTGGTTCATATTGAGGACAAAAGGGTCCAAAATTAAACTTTGTTTGATTTCATCAAAAATTGAATTATTGGGGTTCTTTGATATGCCAAATCTAACCGTGTTTTTAGATTTTTAATTTTGGGTCCCGTTTTTTAAATTGGTCTACATTAAGGTCCAAAGGGTCCAAAATTAAACTTAGTTTGATTTTAACAAAAATTGAATTCTTGGGGTACTTTGATATGCTGAATCTAAACATGTGTTTAGATTTTTGATTATGGGACCAATTTTCAAGTTTGTCCAAGTTGGGGTCCAAAATTAAACTTTGTTTGATTTCAACAAAAATTGAATATATGGGGTTCTTTGATATGCTGAATCTAACCATGTATTTTGATTTTGGACATTGGACCATAATAGGTAAATTAAAAAAATTGAAGTTCTTAGACCACATTCTTTCTGTGTCAGAAACCTATGCTGTGTCAAATATTTAATCACAATCCAAATTCAGAGCTGTATCAAGCTTGAATGTTGTGTCCATACTTGCCCCAACTGTTCAGTGTTCGACCTCTGCGGTCGTATCAAGCTGCGCCCAGCGAAGCATTTTATTTTAAGTTACATTTGTACTTGATATGTTGAAAGAGGTCACAATTTATGTTTCCTCAAAATTCCCAAAAAATTCAGTTTTATGTTTTATTTCCAGGCATGGTGGAAATAGTAACAGAATCTGACACGTTACGCAAAATACAAGTATCCTCTGGGGTCACAGGGTCATTTAAAGATCGACCAATCAAAGAGTGGTTACAGAAACATAATCCAACAGAATTAGAATATCAGAAGGTAAGCTTTGTTCAGAGTAACTTGAAAACTTATTCAATAATTTGAATATTCCGTACTGCTTTGGTTGATTTTGTTATATCACATGCCTACCCTGCATTGGCAGCCCATTCCTGTCCACTCAATGCTTTATATCCTGTTCACAGGCAGTAGGAAAGGAATATTTGGCTGGCACAAATTTCTACTGGAAAAAAAACTATATGTTTAGATAACATCTGAAATAAATATAATGAAAATAACTGCAACTGAGGTCCACTACATGATGTGTCAAAATAAGCAAAAATAAACTGTAGTAATTTGAATAAAGAAGGAACATCATATAAACCCAAATATTTTGCAGATGTGAAAAGACAAAACAATTTCTTTTAACTGAACTAGGAAAAACACAAGTTTTTATTTTTTTGGGTTTATATGTTATTTGACACTCCGTCTGAATCTTCCATCTGACACTTCTGTGTGTCTGCTTATGTTCTCAAATACTTATAGTTGCATATTACACACATCCTGTAAAATTTTAACACAAAGAAAAAAATGTTTAATTTTGCAGTCCAAAAATGATTTTTGATTGACGTTAATAGGTGAAGCTTCACAAAACTTTCAAGTTTGAGTTTTGCAGAATTCCAAATTACGATTAGATCTATAGTAATATTTTATTTTATTTTTCTTATTTTAGGCGGTAGAAAATTTCACTAGATCATGTGCAGGTTACTGTGTAGCTACGTATGTACTTGGAATCTGTGATCGACACAATGACAATATCATGTTAAAACAGTCGGGTCACATGTTTCATATCGACTTCAACAAATTCCTTGGTGATGCTCAAATGTTTGGAAATATCAAAAGGTATTGACATGTTCATTTTATGTAAATATGTTTGCTGATATGCTTAATTAATAAAGTAAATTGTAAGTTGGGTGAAACTAGTTAACTTTATGAGTTATTCAGTTCATTGCAACATAAATAAACTGTATTCAACATTGGATATTCATTTTTTGTCGAGCCTGCGACTTTTGTCGCAGAAAGCTCGACATAGGGATGTGATCCGGCGGTGGCGGCTTTAGCTAACTTCTTAAAAGCTTTATATTTTAGAAGGTGGAAGATCTGGATGCTTCATACTTTGTATATGGATGCCTCATGTTACGAAGTTTCCGTCAGTCACATGTCCAATGTCCTTGACCTCATTTTCATGGTTCAGTGACTACTTGAAAAAAAAGTTAAGATTTTTTGTAATGTTAAATTCTCTCTTATTATAAGTAATAGGATAACTATATTTGGTATGTGCATACCTTGCAAGGTCCTCATGCCCGTCAGACAGTTTTCACTTGACCTCGACCTCATTTCATGGATCGGTGAACAAGGTTAAGTTTTGGTGGTCAAGTCCATATCTCAGATACTATAAGCAATAGGTCTTGTATATTCGATGTATGGAAGGACTGTAAGGTGTACATATCCAACTGGCAGGTGTCATCTGACCTTGACCTCATTTTCATGGTTCAGTGGTTATAGTTAAGTTTTTGTGTTTTGGTCTGTTTTTCTTATACTGTATGCAATAGGTCTACTATATTTGGTGTATGGAATGATTGTAAGGTGTACATGTCTAGCTGGCAGGTGTCATCTGACCTTGACCTCATTTTCATGGTTCAGAGGTTATAGTTAAGTTTTTGTGTTTTGGTCTGGTTTTCTTATACTGTATGAAATAGGTCTACTATATTTGGTGTATGGAATGATTGTAAGGTGTACATGTCTAGCTGGCAGGTGTCATCTGACCTTGACCTCATTTTCATGGTTCAGTGGTCAAAGTTCAGTTTTTGAGTTTTGGTCTTTTTTTCTTAAACTATAAGCAATAGGTCAACTATATTTGTTGTATGGAAGAATTGATAGCTGTACATGCCTGCCTAGCATGGTTCATCATTCCTTGATCTCATTTTCATGGTTCATTGGTCAATGTTTAGTTTACTTGGTTAATGTTAAGTTTATGTGACAGTTGTAATAAAGCTTTATATTTAGGACTATCAACATAATATCAATGATTAGTAAAGAAGGCGAGACATTTCCGTGTGTGCACTCTTGTGTGGTATTTTCAATAAAGTTTAACCATGAATTTAATTGATCTTGTAAAACAAACTTTTTTTTTTAACCCATGAAATCAAGAATCCACTGGATGTACAACTTTCCTCAATTCATGAAAATTGTAACAAAAAAAAACCAAAATGATTGAATACACAGTATATAACGTGTAAATGGAATTATTTTAAACTTATTTCTTGATAATGCAACAGAACTTATGCCATTCAGACAGTATCAGTATGTTTTTTTATATCTGGTATTCATTGACAAAAGCCTTATCTTGTTCGGAGTAGCTGTTAAAATCCGTTATGACAGAAAACTGGGAGTCCACTATTGTTCATGAGGTATTAATTTTTATGGATTTTGGACAACTGATTTGAATGTTCAACAAACTACAAGCTAACAAAAAATTTTCCACAATTCACAAAAATTAATAAAACATTGTCGTAATCCATGTTAAATGTTTTAAAGCGTCTATTTGTTCTATTTCCAGAGACAGAGTGCCTTTTGTTCTGACATCTGATATGGCCTATGTTATCAACAATGGTGAAAAACAGAACAATAAATTCCAGGAGTTTGTTGATATGTGTTGTCAAGCTTTTAATATCCTCAGAAAAAATACTAATCTGTTTCTTAATTTGTTTGCTCTTGTAAGTACAAAGAAAAGACTCATATTTCTTCATTCAAAAAATAAATTGTATTTCAAGTATCCATTATCTGAAAAATTACTGAGTTCAACAAATAGCAATTTTCTATTACTTTTTTATGAAATTTAAATTACCTAACCAGATAAAAGAAATTTGTTTAGGGCTATTCCATTAAAATGTATGTGGGAGGGTAGGAAGGGAAGTTTAATTATTGAATGTGGGTCATGGGTCTTTTTTCAGTAAGCGTCTATTACCATTATGCAAAATTATCTAAAAAATGGTTCTTGGTTGTAGGGATATTTTGAAAGTTCTTTCCTACCCTCCCACATACATTTTAATGGAATAGCCTTTATGATGTTAATGTTTTTGCTGTAAAATTGAACATCTTCGCCACTGTTACAAACCAAAATCTTTCAGTTATCCAAGTCTGGTATCCCAGGTATCCATAAGGATGCAGCTAGATATATACAGAGAGTACTGTTACCTGGTCAGACCTCAGTTCAGGCCTCGGCTATATTTACTAGGTATTGTACTAACCCATAAACTATATATATAGTATATACAAATGTATTGAAAAGGTTATTGTATAAGATGGAACTTAGAATTAACAGACAAAAACCATCTAATGATAAGAGAAAACTTCGATTTCATTGCTATTGTTACTTAATTGTTGATATGTGTTGTCAAGCCTTCAATATCCTCAGAAAAAATACTAATCTGTTTCTTAACTTGTTTGCTCTTGTAAGTACAAAAAAAAGGACTCATATTTCTTTACTTAATTGTCTAAAAATGGAAATAACACTATAAATTTTATGAGTAAGAAAACATTTTCTAGATTTAAGGAATGACTGTAATATTTTTTCTGTCTATGAAGAAATAACATCAAAAATGTGGTGCGCACTGAATAACCCGCGTAGCGGGTTATTTTAAATTGTGCACCACATTTTTTATGTTATTTCGAATAGACAGAAAAAATATTACAGTTATTTCTTATAATTTAATTCTAAATTCCATTTTAAACCGGAGTAAACCATGAAAAAACGTTGAAGACGTCACGGTCACATGACAAAATTATGTCTATGAGCTGATAAACATAACAACGTCAGGCAATCAGAAGATGCGTTACATCCAAAATTAAGTTATTAACAAATGTTTGAAATCCGAGGATGTATAAATACCAAAACAAGTCCTTACTTTATTAAGGGAGAGTATTGTTACCTGGTCAGACCTCAGTTATGGTCTCGGCTATATATACCAGGTATTCTAGTTACTCTTTCAAATATTGTATGTATTGTAAAAGGCTCTCAGTGTATAGGTTGGGATTTAAGCATGAAAAGTAAAAGCAATATAAGGATAGGAGAAATCAGTAAAAGATATTATCATTGAAAGATGTTCACAAGTACGACAGAAATATGACTTTTACATGGAAACTTCTTCAGTTCTACTTTATGTTATATTTATTTTCTCTCAACTTTGTTTCAATTATTTCTAAACTTTTTGTTTTGGATGTTCAACACCTGACTGTTCAGCAGCTCTTCATATGATTGAAATAGAATTGACCACTTGACCATCCAATTATGGTTTACCAGCAGTTATGAATGCTGGCCTGCTGTGTTATTGTTTTTGATTGATTGATATTTTGTCTACAAAAGTATCTGAAAAACTTTATTCACTTATACATAACCTATATATATTTTCTTATATGAGGGCCTCAGGGAAGATTAGTTTTATAGCTAACTGTGTAACCCTCTTTAAATAAAGAATTATTATTATTATTATCATTATTATTATTTGATATACAAAATTAAAAAAAAAATAATAAGTAAACATACATTTTTTTTAATTTTTCGTAGAATGATAGAAGAGAGTCTGAAGTCTGTGTTTGTCCAGTTTAATTTCTTTATACACAACCTAGCTCAACTCAAGTTTTCCAGTCATCAGGAAGGTGCTCTGTTATCATTTGTTCCTAAAACTTACAGGTTGGTAAACTTTAATTCATAGAGTTATTTTCTTTATAAAAAAATAAAGAATCTTCACAGGTGCAGCCAACAAATGATAAAGATGAAATCACCAAAACCTAAAAGTTGAACAAAAAAGCAATAAAAGCTAAAAGCCAGAAAATAGCAGCCTAATGTTTTGAGTTTAGACAAGATAAATCTCTGAGAGCTTGGTTGCAACGGTTGAAATGTAGCATAACAAAAATGACTGCAAGATGATTACATCAATCAAATACAAAAAAATAGCTTAATTTCAATTTGCACAATGGCAGTCCATATGATAAAGCTTATAGGTTAAATTTAATTCATGCAGTTTTAATTCTTTAAACACAATCATGCTCATCAAAAGTTTTTAAGTCATAAGGCAGCTTGCTTTGAATCATCATTCGTATGAAACTTACAGGTACTCATTTGACTGTGAATTAAATTATTTTCATGGATACCAATATTCATGGATTGAGGAAAAAGCTAGTTTAGACTGAGGATGTTTAATTTTGTGGTTTTGCCCAAATTTGCATACAGGCCTATAGAACATTTGTATTTTCGTTGACCATTTCAATTCTTGATTAACAAAAACCTGCGAAATCCAAGACAAATGGTATTCCATGAATAATAATGATTATCGCTATTTTACGAAATTTTCCTTTGATCTTACCGACTGATAATTTCCTTTCTCAGCGCAGTAGAGTGATATGAAACTAGAAACTAAGGGCGCATGTGCCGCTGTCAATGAAATTAACAACGTCGACATTGGTAAAATAGCGATAAACAGATTATCATTGGCTGTACCGGCTCAAGCGAGAAAATCAATCTCGTTGAGATGACCAACGATAATCTATAAATCCAAAGTACACCTTTGTTAAATACAGCAAAATCATCATTTTGAAAAAAAAAATTGGACGAATTGTTGTCTTTATATCACAGTGGCAAATATGTCATGCATATTCAGGAGAAGAAGGAAATGTGGGATGTGGAGAGTGGGTGACCTTTTGGACTAACATAAGAAGACTCAGGGTATTAAGATCGGTTTCAGAAATTAAGCATTTAAAAAATTCCCTACAGATTTTTTATTGTTTGTGATTTTTTATGTGCAGAGATCATGACATTTGCAAAAAAAAGATGTAATACCATTGATGGGACCTGACTTGGTTGACTGCTCATATTTACCTCCAATACAGCAAACAAGACCCCTCCCACTCTTTCAACATACATTTGTGTAGGTCTATGTGATGAATAGAAGTCCAGATAGGTGAACCTTTTTTGAGTGTGAAAAGAAATAGAAATTATTGTATTAAAATCGATTTGATGATTTCTAGATTTGTTATAGAAATAAAATAATGTATCATATTTCCACAAACTGTAGTTTTCAGAAAGATGTTACATCGATATCTCCAAGCAGGTATCAGGAAGCTTGTGTTTCTCAGCATGAACAGAACTGTGTCTTAAGCTGTAATTAAGGAATGATGATATAATACTTTCTAACCTCTTCTGTTTTGCAGAATTTTTTATTTTATTTTTATATTTTACTTTTTTAAGATCTTAAACATTTTTCCTTTTGTAATGCACTTGAATAGGAATAACAGTACTGTAGTTGAATAGTTGCTGCCATCAATACTGGATTTGACAGTCACAAATATACATTTTACTGGCTCTGATTCACATTGCAAGTAAAACTACTTTGCTACCCGTCAAATCCTCAGTTTATATCAAAATTTGTACTTACCTGTCTGAAAAACATTTGCAATTACCCCTTGGTAACCCCACAACCAATCACTACGTACAGATTTATCATAAACAAGGTTTTTACCTTCAAAAAAACATAATTGGTGGCAACAACTCTTCAACTACAGAACTTTCCTTAAATGTGCTGTTTTATCTGATTGAATATTTCTAATGTAATGGGTAATGAACAGATACAAATAAAATCTACATACTTTTACAGCATAAATCGCTCATGTGGAACTTATTTTATACAAGAGGTCTGTTCTGTTTGTTCTGTTATAGAAGCCTTGATAAAAAATTCTTTGCTATTAAAATCAAAGTTGCTCTCATGAAAAAGGTCAACTAAGATAACTTTCCTTAATCTTAAAGTTCTATATGTACAATTTTGAATTCTAATACAACTAATTTTGAATCCCTAAACAAACACTTTTAAATGACCCATTAAAGAATATTGGTTAACACATAAACGGTTTATGCTGTAACAGACTTACTTTCTCTGCATCTGTGAATGAACCTGACCTTTCTTTCAGCATAACGATATCTCATAAACATTTGGAACAATCTTTCTGATTCACTTACAGACGATCTAGTAAAGTGTGTACTTTGTTACAAATTTTCTCATACATTTACAGCTGATCTACTGGAGTGTGTACTTTGTGCATAAAAGTTAGGTTTGTGTGTTGAAACATGAATTCTTCGTTAGCTATTGCTATATAGTAAAAAACTGGTCATCGTTTTGTTACCTATCCCAATGTTTAATTGGCTAGCAATATCAATTGTTAATTTTTCAATAAGTAGTTAACAAGTATGATAGTGATTTCATGATCCATCTAGCAAACAAACAAATTTATTTTTGATGTTTATGTACACACTCAAGTATAATAGCTGTAAAATGTATTTTTCATGATGCTCTGTTGTTTTTTTATTTTTAGGATCTCTTTGTCTGCTAAGTTATTGTTTCCAAACAATACAAAATATGAATGGCCAAATTCTAAACCTAATTCTTGGTTTTCATCTCCGTTTTTATCTGACTAGGTTGCTGTTTCTGGTGTTGGAGATGCAAGTTGGGCTTATCTGAGCTAATCTGATATTAATGCAGATGTTGTGTCCATGCTTCTCTTACGAGGATCTGACAACACTATTTTACTTTTTGAATTCATGACCTTTAAGGAATAATTTTGATTTTGTTGTAATAATACACTCCTAGGAAATTTTAAAATTAAAAAATTGTTTTATTAAATGCACTCAATAGTTTTGAATTGATTTTTAGGAATTTTCAATTGTGATTTTAAACATGATGTACTTAGCTGGTCTTATTAATTATCATTCACATACTACTGGTACAAAGAAGATTTGAAAATTTAAGCATTTTTATTTTTCAAAGTTTGAAACTGTTAGAATATATCATTTCCATATGAACCTGAAAAAGAAAATCTAAGGGTTTAGTGTCTCGTGTACCTTATTTCTGGGGGGAAGGGGTAGACTGCAGAGTGGAGGATTGAAAAAATCAACAAAGTGCAAGAATTAAGCTTTCAAGTGAAACTGCATAGTTTGTGGTGGAAATAGAAAGTGCCTCCAAGCCACATCTTAAATTTTTATAATTGTTCACAAATGGTAATCTTCATTTGAGCAAGGATGCTTTTTAATAAGAATAGAAACGCTTAGCTTTGTATAATTGTTAGGTATTTTTTAATGCAATTTAATTTAATTGTAAGGTGATTTATAAGTATATCTGTTGCTTTCTTGTATTACAGTTTAAACACAGATGGTAAAATAAGTAAAGTTGAAGTCCATAGTTACCAGAAACGGTATACTCCAGAAAGACATTATGTAAGTCCGCTAATCTTAGTAATAAATAATAATAAATAAGATAAATTTAATGTCAGCATGGTACAAAACAAGTAGACATGAACATAAGTTCTGAGCTTTTTACACAACACATTGGTTAAAATAAGGAATGTTTGAATGATGGTCTAAATTTTTCATGAAAATGTGTATTATTATACCAGATTCTATTAGGGGGGGAGTTGGGGGGGTCAATTCGCAACAGTATAGTTTATTGCACAAAAGCAAAAAATATCGAATATAAATTCAAATCATATAACCAATTCTAAGTTCTTTGACTACAGTTATTTTGTGTCAGAAACCTATTATGTGTCAAATATTTAATTACAATCCAAATTAAGACCTGTATCAAGCGCGAATATTGTGTCCATTTTTGCCCCAACTGTTCAGGGTTGGACATCTGCGGTCGTATCCAGCGGCGCTCGGTGAAGCAATTTATTGAGTTCATAATGGGGGAGGGTTAACTCCAAAACCACAACATGTTAGTGTCATTGTCAGAAAAAGGGGACCTTGTCAGTGGTTGTCTTTGTTTTATATATCAGCATGTTTTATTCTTTAAATGATTTGTTACTGATGAAAAATTTTTGAATGTCTCTGTAAAATAGATTCTTATCTTTATCTATACCATGAGTGTTTTAATAGAGCTGGACATATGGTAAAGAATCTTGTCTACTGTTGAATAATGTGTTCTGTGTCTTTACATATTGATAGTTGGATTGTTTTTTAATCATTTTGTTGTTGCTTACAATTGAAAGTTTATGTGTAGTATAAAATTATTTACATGTTGTAATTTGCTTACAGATATTTATCCTGAGAGTGGAGAGGGAGAATCAGAAAGTGCCAAGCTATGTCTTCCGTCATTTTTCAGAATTTGTAGAATTTAGAAATAAACTGATGGAGATGTTCCCATTGATACCATGGCCACATCTATCTAGCAAGTAAGATCCTAGACTGTTGAAATAGATGAAAGACTGTCTATTTGGAAATTTGTGAAATGTTTTTTATTGTTTTCCAAATTTGGATGAGATATGTTTCGCAAAATTAAAAAGTCAAATTTATAATTTTGATATTGTTATTTGTATGCTGTATAGCTGGAAATCCCAATAATTATTCCTGCATTTTAGTCCATTGTTCGACAGTCACATTAATAAATGCATAAACAATTTCTGAATTTACATAAGTAGAAATTAAGGAATTAGATAGAAAGAGTTTATTTAACTTCAAACACTGAAAGTCCAAATTGTAGTTTTGTTTATATATATGTTTACCCTATCTCCAGAAATAACAAACATAAAAAAAAAAAAAATACCAATATTCATTTTTTTTCAAAATATTTATTTACAGAGTAATTTGGGGAAGATCTCACATTAAAGCTGTAGCAGAAATAAGGAAAAAAGAAATTGAAAACTTTTTACAAGAGCTATGGATAAAGGCGGCAGAAATATCTGAGGTAATTATCAAAAGTTCAGAGTTTATACAATGTTTTAATAAAATAATGCAAAAAATGTCACCAAATAAACAAAACAATGATTTAAACTCTTATTTCAATTTTTACTAGCAAAACTCTACTACAAGGTGTATAAATATTATAATAGTTAACCTTGTGTGTTGTCACCTTAATTTGGAATTAAAAACGTTGCATATTGATTTCATATATTTAAATCTGCATTAACTTACTTAAAAAGAGTGTTAACAATCTACGCCTTGATAAGTTTTAGCATTATACTATGCTATTGTTCAAGTACACAGTGTAATGTTTGCATGAGACGAATTGAATCGTAAAATGACAGCCATGAACAAAGAGATTATTTCCCAATACAAAGTATTGAAAAGTGTAATATAATGCTCATTTGAACACCTATTAATTATTAACCAAAGGTATTTGAAACTCATTCAATCTTGTCTACGAAACAAGTAGAGTAACAAAAATTAAACCCCATGCACTTTTCTGTAATTAGGTAATAAGCTTTCATTGGTATTTTTAAATGCAGTATAAGTAGGTCAACCAAGTCGCAAAACATTTATTAAGGGATCATAGATTTATTCTTACGAGGAAGCTCCGAGCATGCTCGGAGGATGCTCAGAGCTTTTTCAGTAGGCTCTTCTCTGCAGTTTATGTGAAAATAATTATCATGATCCATTAAGATGTCAATCAAATCTACACCACTTCTATAATAAGGAAAGTTGAGCATTATAGAGGAAGCTCAATTAACACCTGTGTAAACAACTGATCTATTCAAATACATTTTGTATGACATTTTACAAATTATAGAAAAGATAAGAAATTCTTCAACAGTACTGTGTAATGCTTGGAAAGAAATCTCAAGTCTCCACAAAAAAGTGAAAGTCATTTAACAAAAAATATACAATTATTATATTTATTAATCATTTCTTTTTTTATAATAAAAAAGATTCTCAAATCTTATAATTAGATGATATGATTTAAATATAGTTTATATTATATAATATGCTACATAAAAGTTATCAAGACACAAACAACAGTCATTGGGCGATACTAAACAAGTTATTTTTTTTAGTTACTTAATATATACTAATAGGTATTATTTTGTTTTTTTAAATTATTTGATATATTATATTAATAATAGTTATTTTGAATGTCAAAAGTGGACTAAATGTAGTTTTTAAGAATTTTTTCATCATTTCATTAAGTAAAATTAAGTATTTATCCAACTTGAGATGAGTATAGAGAGATTACTTTAAAAATAATGAAAAAATATTACTTTTATAAATTATTTTATACATCTTCGAAAAACTAAGCATACTTACAATTATTTAAGGAACATATGTAATTGTTTTTGATAAAGATTTCAAATTATAAATAACTTCAAGTCTTAATTAAATCACAAAGTTCCATCCATTTATATTTGTTCATCTCTAAGATTTTAAAGGAAAATGTTATTTTAATAGCCCCAAGAGATCAATCTATGACCAAGAAGTGTGGCATCAGAAAGGCAATTTATAGTGTTTCAGGAGGATTTAAATAGTTTTATACTGCATGGGGAAAATAACCAGATGTGAAAATTTGGTAAAGCTTGTAAAACCTGTATGAATGGACACCTATAGAAATAATATTAACAGAAGTTACTTATTCATGATATATAAGTAATATTTGAAACAACCTTGTTTTCAATATAACTTGTATAAGTAATTTTGAAAATTACTTGTTTAAGTAATGCCCCTAACTATTAAAACAATGATAATTTTTTTTTTTTTTATAAAATAGCAAAGTTAGTTTTTTATAAAAAAAATTATGGCTACTCTAAGAAAAGTTGAGGAGGTAATACCACCATTGTTTTCCCTCTAATACGTCTCACTTTAATTGTCATTTTTTTTATAATTGTGCGGATTTGGTTTTATTTAAATAAAGAAATACTTGGCATAATTATATAAGTGAAGTTTTATCCTGACCTGTACTTGAATGAAAATCTAATATAAAATTGTTTCCCCCTATCAGTCTTTGTTTAATTGGTATTTTTCAAAAAATATGTGCAGAATTTATCTATGTTTTAAATAAAGAAATACTTGACATGAGTAAAGTTTTTTCTTGTCCTGTACTATAGTAATAAAACAACATAATTTTTCAGTGCATATAAGAAAGAAGACATCACCAGAATTAACCAACCAAATTCTATCCCCCTTTTTTTTTCTCTGTTTACAAGCTTTAGTAGCCATGTCCCCTAAAATTGCAAAAATATTTTATATAAAAAACTTTGCTATTTTATAAAAAAAAAATACAAATGTACCATTGTTTAGTTAAGGGCATTACTTAAACTAGTAATTTTCAAAATTTTTGTTTCAAATATTACTTATATATCATGAATAAGTAACTTCTGTTAATATTATTTCTATAGGTGTCCATTCATACAGGTTTTACAAGCTTTAACAAATTTTCACATCTGGTTATTTTCCCCATGCAGTATAAAACTATTTAAATCCTCCTGAAACACTAATTGCCTTTCTGATGCCACACTTCTTGGTCATAGATTGGTCTCTTGGGGCAGGAACATATATATTGACGGGACTTGACACTACCTGATTGTAGTCGATTTTATCGTCGTGCCATAGTTAATAAAGATACGATACAGAAACGGACATGTGTTAAAAACGGACTCGCTATTATCCTAATAATTTCTGATATTATCAATAAAATGTCATTCAAACTAGTTTTACAGTGAAGCTAGTGTATCAAACTTGTATTCTGTCACTTCAAATTTGTTAAAATCGAAAGCATTTCATCACAGAATTGTGCAGAATGCAAACCAGGTAATAAAAAAATGGCGGCCATTGCCACGATGATAATTACAAATTCCCAAACTATTATAAAACACTTCACATCAAATAAATCAAACTTATTTTGGTAATTTTATATGACAAAATATATCTACTAAATGATAAAACTTGTATTTATTTACAATTAGAGTTATGTGGTTTATTTGTTGAGCAGTTTTGATAGTATTTCAGTCAGACGCTACCAAAATCCGTAAATCTCGGGAAGTCTCGGGGAGTCCGAGATTTTATCAATTTTATACTGAAAAGCGTATCAGATTCATTTCCCGTTAGATATACTGTTCCCAGCTTGGGGCTATTAAAATAACATTTTCCTTCAAAATCTTAGAGATGAACAAATATAAATGGATGGAACCTTGTGATTTAATTAAGACTTGAAGTTATTTATAATTTGAAATATTTATCAAAAACAATTACATATGTTCCTTAAATAATTGTAAGTATGCTTAGTTTTTCGAAGATGTATAAAATAATAAATAAAAGTAATATTTTTGTCATTATTTTGAAAGTAATCTCTCTATACTCATCTCAAGTTGGATAAATACTTAATTTTAATTTATGAAATGATGAAAAAATTCTTAAAAACTACATTTAGTCCACTTTTGACATTTAAAATAACAATTGAGATTATATCAAATAATTTAAAAAAACAAAAAATACCTATTAATATAAGTAACTAAAAAAAATAACTCGTTTAGTATCGCCCCCTGGCTGTTGTTTGTGTCTTGATAACTTTTATGTAGCATATTATATAATATAAACCCTATTTAAATCATATCATCTAATTATAAAATTTGAGAATTTTTTTTATTATAAAAAAAGAAATGATTATTTTAAAAATATAATAATTGTATATTTTTTGTTAAATGACTTTCATTTTTTGTGGAGACTTGAGATTTCTTTCCAAGCATTACACAGTACTGTTGAAGAATTTCTAATCTATTCTATAGTTTTGTAAAATTTCAGGCAAAATGTATTTGAATAGATTAGATGTTTACACAGGTGTTAATTGAGCTTCCTCTATAATGCTCTACTTTCCTTATTATAGAAGTGGTGTAGATTTGATTGACATCTTAATGGATCATGATAATTATTTTCACATAAACTGCAGAGAAGAGCCTACTGAAAAAGCTCTGAGCATCCTCCGAGCATGCTCGGAGCTTCCTCGTAAGAATAAATCTATGATCCCTAACACGACTAATTTATATTTTCAGAGTGATATTGTTTATACATTCTTCCATCCATTGCTGAGAGATGAACAAGAGGCTCAGAAAGAAAATCTGGGGATTCAGAAATTCAGAGGTAATTAAATGTGGAAATATTTTAGCTATCTGATAGAGGAAATTTGAGAAATTTAACTACATGTAGATACTAATAAAGTTTGAAGTCATTATATCTATACAGGCAAGGAGTTAATATCAATGTTCTATTGCATTTGGGATATTTGTTATTTTTTAGTATTTTAATGGATTTTCGTCTAATGTACTTAAACTCTGTTTTTCCTTATGTTGAATATTCGCTACTTTTATTCAACCTATGGGATACAAATGTTTCCTAACTTTTATTATTTGTTGCTAAAATAATGAATTAAAAACATCAAAATAATGAAAAAATATAAAGTTAAGTATTTAAAAACATCAATTTGGGGTGGGAAAATAATGTCTGTAGTTCATTGCGAAATATATGGAGAAATTATGATGTAAAAAAGTTAGAAAAGTAAAGAATATATAACAAAGATTGAACAGTATTTTGACAAATGTGTATTTAAAATACATTTTATTAGATTAGGAAAAAAAATTTGGGGTTGGCAGGCAAAATATTGGCAACTTGGTTTATGCATTATTAGGGCCCCGCCTAGTGGCGGGTTGCCCTATAGTGATCAGTCTGTCTGTCTGTCCGTAACAAATTGTGTCTACTCTATATCTAGGGAACCATTATGATTTCATACTTTATACTTGACATGTATATTAACCAACACCAGAGGGTGTGTCATAATGTATGTACAGCTTCCTAGGTCAAAGAAGTGCTTCATATCAGCTTATCCATACAAATTTTTACCATCTCAATGATATCTAGTTGACATCTGTCTCATATGTGTTGATTTATTACTAATATTGTGTTCTCTGTACCATTCCACTGTATATAGTATGTTATAAAATAAAGATATAGAGTATAGAAGGGATACCCAAGTTATTTCAAAATATATATTGGAAACTTTTGTTTCCTTTATGATCCCTTTAAAAAAATATACATGTGTCTTTTGCAACATTTAAACAAAACAAAAAAATTGCATATTCATTTTGTAAATATGTTTGTAGAGCAGCCACTACCTTCACCTAAAGGTAATTTTATGATCATTATTGTGCCAGGTCCATCCATCTGCAGCTTACTTTCACCATTTAAATATGCACTTTGGTCAGGCTAATATAATGAACTTGTAGGCTATTCTGAAGACTGCAGTGAAGGTTTAAAATGTTTTAATGCTTTCTTAGAAATTGTGTAATTATTATTGAATTATGATGAATGGAGCTATTCTGCATTTTTGAAGTGCATGGTGTACAATCATAATAATCAGTGCAGGGAATGTCTCACTGAACTTAATTCTTCTCTTTCTCTTTATATAATTTGTCTATTTTTAGCTGATTGATTTAAAATTTTTTCAAATTATATTTATGCAATAGATTTCCATTTACTTATGAAAGAAAAATATTTCTTGGCATGACTATGAATGTAAATTTAGCGTACAATTTTGGTATACACGTACCTATAATTATTAAAGATAATTTTCTTAGCATGTTTGATTTATTTACCCGTATTAAATTAGATTAAAAATCTCTCTTGAATAATTTATCTGAAAGTCTTTCAAATGTATTGATTGATTGATTGATTGGTGTTTAATGCCACTTTCAACACTATTGTGGCGGTCAGTTTTTATTGGTGGAGGAAGCCGGAGTGCCCAGAGAGAACCACCGACCTTCGGAAGGAAAACTGAAAATCCTAGTCAATTAAGATAATAAGATTGGAGTGGAGTGCACCTGCCCCTTGCGGGATTCGAACTCACAACCTCAGTGTTGACTGGCTAGTGATACAGTAGTTCGACTACTTAGACCTCTCGGCCACCAAGGCCTCTCTTTCAAATGTAAGGAAGGATGTAGTTTATAAATTGTGTATAAGTGATCACATTGCATTTTAAAACCTTACACAACACCTGGACCAAACATTGCTACAATGGTTGCACAATAAATGTATAAAGTTTAATACACACTCACACCTAAGTTTATATCACATCCCTATTTTTATTTTTGTTTGTTTATCAAATGTGTTTGGATCTCAATCAGTAAGTGAGTAAATGATTTACACATCAATACACTCCTGCAATCGACCTTTCTACTATACAAATACCAAGCAAACTGTAATGTTCAGATTCCTTTGACTTTATCCATGTAGTGCCATTAAAAATTTTGCCCGCTAACCCCTACTTCTCTTTTCATAGTTTTATTACATATAGTTTAAAAAGCCATATTTGAAAATCTTATAAAATCCTTGTTATTTTTTCATTGTTTTTGAAAGAAAAAAGGTGCCAATGTTAAATATATGTAAAAACGTAGAGAGAATCATTTCCTGCCAAATTTTCAATGGCTTATATCTCGAAAACAAGCACACGGACCCTTCATTTTTTTTTCTGCTTTTTTAGTTCATTTATATACTATCAATTTATAACAGTCTTTTAAAAAGCAGAGTAGCGAATATCCTTAAGTCATGTTGATTTCATTCAAAAACAAATTCAACAGTTGTGATGTATAAAAAAAACTATACTATAAAAACTATATGTTAAATTGCAAGATGAAAACAATATTCATACATTGTAGGAAAATATAACATTTATTTGTCAATGGAGATTTAGAAACAGAAAGAAAAGCAAGGTGCACCTAGCTTTTCACCTGTTTCATAGCGAGTACAAATAAATTTTTATATGTATGAATATTGTTTATATAATTCCAATAAATTACACTGAAAAAAATACCCAGATCAAATATTTCATGACAACTGTCAACGTACCAGACTATTTTGCCTGTGTAGGAATCTAAAATACTCATGTTGTCATAAAACAGGTTTGTACTTGTTGAAACTTTTAGCTGCCATGATATTCAACAATAGAAAAAGGCTAAACATATAGCATTGGAATTTTTAAAAATGTATAATGAAAATCAGGACAGGAAAAGCACTTAACTCAGTAATACAGGTGTATTGGTGTAGTAAATAATACAGGTGTATTGGTGTAGTAAATAATACATGTGTATTGGGGTAGTAGATAACAAGATAATTAGTAGATTGCAAAACCACATCACTGTTACTGAAAGTAAGCCTTGAAATTCTGACATGAAATCATGTCTCCTTTCACTATAGTTCATATAATAAATAGAATATTTTGATTTCTAGACATACAAATCTCGCTTGGCTTAGGTTAAAACTTAAGTTTTTGGATTTTCAAATATTTTGGCCTCGAGCATCACTGAAGAGACATTTATTGTCGAAATGCGCATCTGGTGCAGAAAAATTGGTACCTTTAATGTTTTTGGCTCAGGTCAATCTTAAGTCATTGATAAAAATCCTATTTGATATTTGAGATACACTCTCTCATCCTACCACATATCTCATTCATACATCTGCATTGACCTAAGAGGTTCCAGTTTCATTGGTGCGAAGTAATTCATGTTCCTTTTCTTGCAATTTTGTAACATTTATAATCTATATGAACATTAAAGAAAGACTCCCACTCTGTTAATGGAATATGCTTAGACTAACACGAAAGGGGGTTTAGAAGGAATCCTTATCAGCATTGAAAAGATGAAGGAAATGGTCAAACACTTGAAAGTCCCTTGGATAACATTCAGTAAAGATTTCCTATTGTCATCAATTCTTTAACTCATTTTCATTCCTCCCATTGAAATATTGTCTAAAATCCTTCATTGTCACCAGTGTTAGGTTTTTACTATTTAATCTAACGATATATAAACTTAAAAAGATACTATACATGAACAATTAACGAGGGTAGTAAAGGGTTATTTTCGTGCAACGTGTTTTGCCATTTTTATTTCACGTGCAGCCATGAAAAAGGTTCGTTATTCACCATGTTTCATGAAATCGGTAAAAATATCAATGTGCAAGAAATTTTTAATTGTTCGTTCATCGTGAAATGGCAATTTTATTTCGCGTTCTTCCGTGCAGATACCCCCCTTTACGCTCCTCACTAACCTTGATTTTTTTTTTATTACATGATATTTATTATATGATGACAGGAAAAGAAACCATCTACAGTTATCAAATCACATAAAGTGTATTCATAGCATTTATTAATCTAATTTCAGAAGTTCAAGTCCAGTTAGTCCCTCAAGGCTCCCCATTTGGCCAAGTGAAGTTGTCACTTGAATACAAAAAGAGCACTTTGATGATAATGGTGATGCATGCAAAAGACTTGGTGAGTATTTTTTGCATTTTTGACCCACATATGATAGTTTGATATCTGAAAGACTAATTCTTCTGCAATGACTAACATCCATACACTACACAACTCTATAAGTTGGCCTTGGGAGGATTTGGCTATTATTTTAGGTCCTTTTTTATTATATAGCTCTATAACTGTTTCGGTTCTTATACATCCTTGGCTTTCAAATATTCGGCTTTGAACGTGTTGTTTTCATTTTTTTTTCTATACACATAATCACCGAAAAAAACCAAACTAAAGTTTCAAATTGAATATCCACATGACAGTGCAATGTGCTGAGTTTAATTGTAAATTATGATACATAATGTCATTTCAACAAAATATAGTCAGTAATTTATAAATTCTACTTAAATCAAAATATATTAAACATAGCATAAATTACTTCACACAATCAAGATAAAAATTTAAATGTGATACATGTTTTTTCGAGGAGGCTCAGTCGTGCTGAATGGTTATTACCCAGGAAACTCGGGAAAACTAATAACAGTCTATGGGTAGACAACTAGAAGAAATTGATTTCGATCTAATTCAGTTCCTTCAAATGTTGAAATTATATTTATATGTCTCGTGAACAGTGGAAGTGTTTGACATGAATTTTATAGATTTTTCAAGTATTCAATTTGAAGGGACAAAATGTGGCCTAATCAAATCTTCTAAATTGTGATTGTCTTTTACCATTATTTTTTTTAGCAGTTCACAGCATAAATAAAGTATAATTTTTCCTGTTTTATGATATTTATTTTACAAAATTTTTGCGTGAACCCCTGAGGGTTCACGCATATCAATTAGTTAGAAATATAGTCTATGGAGGAATATTCGGAAGCTAAATTATTCTTCATTCGGAACACTTATTCATCTTATCTGTATTAGCCTCCTGCAATAAAGAGCACCACCATACGGGGGTATCTAAGATATTTAAAATGTGACAATAAAGAACATTTCACAAATCGCTTATTCATTTGTCAGAATAATAAACTAAATGTATATATAGATCACTTTCAAACATTATGTTAAAGCTAAATTTATGCATCGTAAGTGTTTACTTGAGCAAAGGTTACAGTTGCACGAGCAGTTGCACCGTTTGATTAACACGTGAAAGTTAAATGGTCAAGATTTAACAACCTATGGTATCGAACATCTGCGTCTAGATATTAAAAGAGAGATATTAATGATGCAGCGGTTTCTATCTAATGAATTATAGTGGTCTTTGGGATTTGTTGATTTGTAACAATACATTTTATGCTCACTTGTCATTTTGACAAATCAGATATACAAAAATGTCCGTTTCAAAAACTGAAAATTATTAATAAAACAAATAAAATAAAGACTGTTCGTTAATAATTCAAGGAAATAATCTTACTCTTAATGATAAAAATATATTATATAATTCTTTAATTAAGGAAATAGATTAAACAATTGCATGTTAATCTTCCATGAGGTCTTCAAAAATATGTTATGCAAAAGAAATAAAAAATCAAATACACAAAACAATTAACTCTAGATTTTTACACTGAATAAGCATACATGTAAGTACTCAATGGATTCTGTAAACATGGTAAAGTTAGAAAAAGGGCGAATTTTATCCTACATTCGGGTATTTGTTTAAGCAATTATATATCAATATAAGAATTAAGATTGGAAATACATATATACTGAGACCAACATTATTTTAATAAATATATCTGAATTGATGAAATTATGATTTAAATAATTTAAGTGTTTTAAAATTAAAAATAATTATGTATGCGGTTCCTTCGACCAACATACGTAATAAATCTCAAGACTTAAAACCGTTTTTTGCTGATGGTTGTTGCCTATAATTCAGAATATTAACAGTGTTTCAGGATTTTTTGCTTAAACTTGTTTAAGCATGGGTCCCTTTTCAAAAGTCTAACAACTACTACCTCGCAATGTAATCTTTAATATTTTTGTTGCGTTTAAATGCTTTTTTGACATCGTGTGACTCAATTTTATTAATGAAATCGTTTGTATCTCGAATGTAAAAGTTAAGCCTCTTCAATAATGGTTTTATAATAAGACCAAGCAATCTCTCAATGTGTCTCATTGGAGAGTTAAACTTATTGATGATTGGTCGGTAAAGAACATTAATTTCTCCTACTACAGTACGGGTTGAGACTTATTATTATGGATGTCTTAAACCGTCTAGATGTCAGACTGGCCGGACAGTTGTCTGAGTGTAATTAACACCTGCTGTGATATCAACCTGTACAATATCCGAGTGGAAGGTCGTAAATCAATCTGTACCAGCTTGATTAGAATTAAATTTTACCTGTACAGATATTTTAGTATTTATGGAGGATAGATAATAAATGTAAAATATTGTTTTATATTCAAAAAGAAAAAATTACAATAAAAATTAAAATTTAATATCATGAATATGGGATCAACTTTTTTTTAACTTGAAAATGAAAGAAAGACGATTTTTAACAATGTACTGTAAAAATGTGTTGCCAATTATAATAATTGTGTTTGTGCCAATAAACTATTCGTATTTGTATTTGTAAACCGTAAATATTTCATTTTGTTCAAAATTATAACAACCAGGACTGTTTTCAATCGAAGTTTTAATCAAAATGTTGAGACATCAATCCCGTAAATTATACGGGTTTTCCTTGATGGTATCAATATTTCCCCCTTTTAACGTCCTGTTCCTTAAAGTTATTGATAGAAACACAATTCTAAGTATAAGGCCAACATATCATATTTATAAAGTATATAAACAAATTGAATATAGGCATTGTGAATAAACTGTTATTTTCCTTTCGATACCACGTTCCCCGTCGGAGCCTCTACGTCTATTCATACCTGTCAATCATTTCTCGCAAGTAAAACAATTTGGTCAACCAGATCATCCGTGCTTTCTATTTTGACATATATTTCCTGTTAATATCTTTGAAACAATTGTTTTTTTACAATATTTATAACGCAGTGATCATCTTTCGATTCCTAGTTTTTATATAAAAAAAACTTTTCATATGCACGTCAATATTCTATGACCCAGCACTATTTTAAATTTTGTTTGTTAATAAATTTACATATAATAGAAATAACAGATTTGTTGACACTCGTTGTATCATAACAAAGATATTGCCTTTCTATTTCCATGTTTGAAATTTTAATGAAAATCGTGTTTTTATAAACATATTTTACGAATTGTGTCAATCAATACATGAAGATCAAAGTTTTACACTATTCATGATTAGCCGTCTTTACTTTTGCGTCGTATTTCTAGCCATTCTCTAAAGCTTGTGCAGTCAGTAAGATTTTGTAAATCGATGTCGGCAGTTTAAATTGTATAATTCCCGAACTTTAAAGGAGGTGTCCGAATAAATTATTTAAATAGGAATCTGGGTGTTGACTAATAAATATAATAAATAAAATAGTTAAAGAAGACTAAAGCTTGTTTTTTTTATAATTACAAGGATTAAATTTTCTATTCTGGTAAATCAATTATTAATGGATCTCGATCAAGAGCCTCAAAACTAACGCACAATACTGCCAATCATTACGTATCATTTTAAATCATGAATGGATTTTCCCACGGTCGGTCAGTAAGGTCACCTGTGTTTACTGTTACGATATTTCCCGCCATATGAAAATCACGTGCATTTGACAAAATTGATCCCAGCTATTTTTAGCATTCAACATTGTATTGAGAGTGAAGTCAAGTTCAAAGTTCAACCATATGCTGTTGATCACTGATATGTGTATCATGGAATTGTCTTTTTACGGCAAATATTTTTTTAGATTGGTGTCAAAAATACAACATACAAGTTAACATGCATTGTGCGTAAATTAATATTATGCAATTAAGACTAAGAGTCAATGCAGCACCATAAAATTATTTAAATAGGAGTAATTGCATTTCTTTAGACTACAAATCATAGTAAATATTTAATTAACTGGTCATCAAACGATTGAATGCTTCTAGTTTTAATGTCCATTCAGTGGCAATTATTTCATGCATATTTAACAAACCCAGAAATATCAAAATAAATCAATTCCCGAGAAGAATCGTTATCTTCTTCTAGTGTTATTATTTGCGTACTACTTAAGTTATATATCACCAACTTTCGGACAATATTTGTTTACAGTAAAAAGTAAATTCACAATTATAAAGAATCACCAAACTACTAGTATACAAGTATTGCTCACTGTAATTATTTTTATTTCAGAACTGACCCAACGCAGACTGAAAATTAAATACAAATGTGTGTTAAACTAAAACGTATGCAGCAGCACTTTGCACATCATTCTGCTAATCAATGGGTTTACGTGGAAAATAAATCAGTAAAAAAAAAATAACCTTCCAGAAATAAAAAAGAAAATATTTTAAAAACTGTATGCCAACAAATACGAAAAAAATACATAACAGAAAAAACCAGGGAACATAGAAAATAATATTTTAAGGAATATAAACAGCATTTGAAATATAAAAAGCCATAATTAAAAAAATAGGCTATTTTTATTAAAACAAAGTTGTCTCCAGTACTTCACCTGTAAAAATATTTTATGTCAAATACGATGTAGAACTAATCAATAAAGTGACTGAGAGGTTTAAATCACAGGTAACCTGATTCTGAAATCAGTGAAGCTTAATAATCTAGTAGCACGGATTAAGATGAAAGGACAATTATATTACCGTTCACACCTAGATCTGTTGATTAATGACCATACTACCTACCATAAAAAAGTCGGATTATTCATTTCCGACATGTCCCAGTCCGTTATTTATAGTAATAAGTCTCTACCCGTACTGTATCTGACTAGTTCGCAATGCCTCATTAATTATGTCTTAGATTAATTTAATGAATTTTTGAATTGCTCTAACTCTAATTTGCCTCAACCAAATGATATGAAACTTATAAATAATGCTTATTACCACAAAATACAGATCACGTTTGAATTTTGGTGGTGTCACTTTAACTGTACTAGAGTTATGCCCCTTTTCAAATTTTGCTGAATGTTTCGTTTCCGTTCTCTAACTTTAGTTTTCCTCAACCAAATGTTATGAGACTTATACACAATGTTTATTACCCCAAATCACAGATCAAGTTGGAATTTTTGTGGTGTCACGTTTACTGTTCTAGAGTTATGCCCCTATACAAACGTAAAAGATTCCGTTCTATAACTTAAGTTTGCCTCAACCAAATGTTGTGAAACTTATACATAATACATAATACCACAAATGTCAGATCAACTACACATTTGGGTAGTGTCCCTTTTACCGTTCTTTAGTTATGTCCCTTTATAACTTTATATGATATGCAAGCGGGTGCATCATCTGTGTCACTTGGACACATTCCCTATTTATTTTCTCCTCATTTTATATTTAACACAACTTTAAAATTGTCATGATTAACAATAAAAAGAAAATATCATCCTGCACATACATGGCCATGAAAACACTGAGATATTAATTTTTAATTTAGTTAATTAATAATTAGGATAAAAAAGTTCTATGGTTCACGTATTGTTTTTTTTTTTTATAAAGCAACTTGTTTGACTGTCTTACATGTCATATGGTTCTATTTTTTTTCTGGAAACTTTTTTCTACTGAAAAAAAAAGGTATTCACAAAAATTCATTCAATAGTATTTTGCATATTTCATGTGTCAGTTGAATTTTTTTATAAAAGTACAAATATATCTATTTCAGCCTGGTGGTTCTACCTTGCCTAGTCCCTATGTGAAAATTTACCTTCTACCAGATCCAGATAAACAAACAAAAAGGAAAACTAAAATCGTAAAAGACACGACACATCCTACATATAATGAAGTTGTAAGTTTCCTACATGTGGTAGTGTATGTGTGTATGTATGTCAAAGTAATTTCAGATCAATGAGTCAGCTGGTTCAGCTAAAAAATTTCAGTTGATTCTGATGAATAACTAAGTTTATTCAGTGATATATTTGATTTTATAGACTTATTTACACTTGTATACAAATTTGTCTGCAATTAATTAAAATCACACAAGTTCCCATAAAATCTGACATCACAATTTAAAAAATTTGACGTCAGAATTAAAAAGTGATTGTTGCTTGATGTCAGAAGGTTATTCGGAGACAGATCTAAAGTCATTCAGAGACAAAATTTAGCTAAATACCAAAAGTGTAAATACGTTTATTGCAGATCTAGGATTTTGAAAAGGGGTGGGGCATCAAGGCAACGTTACGAGTGGCACTTGTAATAAATATATGCATTAACCATATGTATCCCCAGAACCAATTTTATTGAGATTTAATGGAAAAAATTACATAAAGTGCAAAGTTACAACAAAGTTGAACTTGTTTTATAATATGATAAATGAAATACTGGCCCCTGCAGGTCAACAAATTCAGTTATTTGGCAAGATCTTTTCAGTTATTAAACTTGGTTTGATAATGCCCCATGCGGTTAGGTAGATCGCAATTTAATTTGTGGTCAAAAGGTCAAGGTCACGTCAGCATTTGAAAAACATAAATTGGGTAAAAGTTTGTTTTTTGGTTGATTTTTTTTGTTGGTCTGAACCAATGTCATTGAGTGAAGAAAATAGAGATACCTACCAGTGACATAACATTAACTATTTGTATAAAGCTTTAAATTTCAAACAGTATGAGACCTTCTGGATGCTTCATATCCTGTGTATAAACGCACCAATGATGCTTCTGTATCTTTTTTACTTCAGGAGAGAGCTTTTATAGGCTGTGCCAGTTGCTCAATCCTTTTCATATCTTAATGAATAAAATATGTTTAAAATCAAATACTGGAGGAGAATTAGAGCTTGACATACTGTATAGACAATTGTCTATTGTTGAAGACTGTATGTGTTTTATGTTTGGTTGGTTGCTGTCTCTTTGACATATACTCCATATCTCCTTTCATTTTTTATGATAGAAACTCATTTAATCTAACCATGAGGGTAGGAATGCCCTTTATCGTCAAGCATCAAAGGTCTGTTTTTCGCTAGGATTAGCGTCAAAAGAGCCTTAATTTTTTATCATCATTAGTCAAATCTCATTTTGTAGCTACCTAAAGCGTCAAATGAATTAAATGTTTATTTTTTACGTTATTTTAACAAATATTTTACCGTCATTCGTCATGTGGGGTACCCCATTCCTACCCTTGATCATGGGCATGATGCAAATGAATTGCAAAAAGTGAAACCACCCATATAGAGAGATAAATGAATTTTCAATTGTATTTTTAAAAATTTTGTATGAAACTAACTATTGAACTCTATTTACAGATTGAATATAAAATGTCTGATAGTGATATGCGTATGAAGACTTTACAAGTTAGTGTATGGGACCATGATAGGTTGGGAGAAAACAATCTAATAGGTGCTGTGTATATCAAGTTACGGAATGTTAATCTTGATGGTGATAATGTGCAATGGTATAATTTGGACAGAATACAAATAACTGATGCTTCCATGTTGGCATGACGACAGTTCATCCTGATCTTTGTAATGTTTTGTTGCAGAATTAAGATGATGATTCCATTCTCCTCAATTTATAATCTGGATTTGTCCATAGAATTTGTAAACTATACATATATATAGTAATTGGCTACCAGTTATTTTGTATCTTTTATGGTTGAGTAAAATCTCCTCTTTGAATTTTAAGATGTAAATCAAATAGAAGATTCAACGATTAGAAAATTAAATGGTGCTTCCATATTGCCATGACAACAACTCATATGGGTCAAAAATTGCAATGTTTGGTTGCAAAATTCAGTCATAATTTATTTTAATCTTCTTTAATAAAAATTAATTTGCATTCATATATCAAATTCCGTAATTCTGTTTACAAGATAAAGTTGGCATCGAAAATTTTTCCAGCTGACTTATTTCGGCTTAGGGATCATAAACACATTTGAACAGAAGGGAAAAACTTTGATCACTCGTATCTTGGTAATAAAAAATATCATATCTTTTTATTTGCTATGGCAACATTATGTGGCAGTTTTTGTTGTTTATATTTACACCATAACAATGTAGTATTTTTAACTAGCAAGTTATTTAAAAATATGGATGCACAAGTTTGTCTTATACTGTATATTCAGAAATTATTGCGGCATTTATTATTGCAATTTTTGAAGAAAGGACAAAAGTGTGAGATTAATTATTGCAATTTCAGGAAAAGCTGCATACAGATATATGTATTAGATATTAGAATGCAAAATTTTACTATTGCAGTACTCACCTAATCGCATTATTTGCATTAATAAAAACCTCGCAATAATTACAGAATTTACAATATGCCATGACTTACAACTAACAAATGCATTATTATTCATAGGAATTTATTGAATAAAAGCGTTTTTTAGACGGTATACATGTATTTCTGTGATATTTATAATCTACAAAAAGTTCAAATGGCAAGTTATTTGGTATGAAATATTTACAGCAAGGTTTGAAAATAGAACTTTTTTTCTTTTTTCGTGTAAAACTTTTGACAAGTCCAAAATATTGCTTTCTGGGTAAAACAATATATATATATATAAAAAAGAAGATGTGGTATTATGGCCAATGAGACAACTCTCCACAAGAGACCAAATGACACAGAAATTAACAACTATAGGTCACCGTACGGCCTTCAACAATGAGCAAAGCCCATACCGCACAGTTAGCTATAAAAGGCCCTGGAATGACAATGTAAAACAATTCAAACGATTCAGTTCAGTTTAAATATCATATGTTTGTCTGAAAATAATCCTTAAATCAATTTTTATAAATGGTCTTGAAATTACATTATCTTACTGCAGATTCATTTATTGTTGGGGGTACCCCTTTTCATAGATTGCGGAAATTTTTTATTTTTGTGGATATTTGATTTCATGGTTTTGTTTGCATTCAAGCTTATTGAAAAAATTTTACTTCTTTGATCTTTCAAATTTGTACATCAACTTTATCCACTAAACCCAAGAAAATAAGAATTCCGCAAATAATAATTTTATGCGACTGCATATTGCTGCTTGCACACAAGTTTCAGCATAACAATCTATTATGTATAATGGAACTTTAATTAGATTTCTATCAGAGCATTTATAAGTGGACATATCTCCATATGATTTGATGTTTTAATGTAATGAAATTATTGCAAAGACAATATGTTCTATGTATTTAAATTTTAAAACTTATTTCAAGCATTTGCTTGTATATTGTATGCATTTTATATAATACCATAATTTTTTTATTTATTAATATATTGATATTGAATTGAGTAATATACAACTTATAATATGTAAAGCAGATTTGATTGCATGGAAATGAGTAATTGAGAATCAGTTATTAAATTTGTCTTTTTTTTATAGTAAAGATTTGACCCTGAAAATCATAAATGTCTTAGGATTTATCAAGATAGATAAATATTTGATCAATTTGCAAGATACAGTTTTTGTCCAAAACTAATCAAATACAACGTATGATAGAACCCCAAACATTATAGTCTATATTAGAACAGAGGTGGTTTCAGCCGGGGCCTTTAGGGATTATTTGCAGCTTAAAATTATTTTTTTTAATGAGTAAATATTGCCAGTTATAACTATTTGGAGCTAGTAAGGTATAAAAAACAGACATAATATGCTTATTTTAAACTAGAATAGCCAACTGGTACTAGGATATGGGTTGTCACTTGAGATTATTAACTGGTATTACTTTACTCATATGACATGACCAGTTGTCTTCCATGGCTACGTTGAGACATTCTATAGAAGAATTGGTATATAGTGATACTGTATTTTAATCATCGCATTTGAATTTCTTTTCTTAAATGAAATGTTGAATTAGGTACGCAGTATTCAAAGTTAATTATGCCATTTTTAATGAGGTCAAGTTTATTAATTAATACTTATAAATTTTAAGCAGGTGATGCTAGAACACATGTGGAATGGCTTCCTATTGAATTTTTGTCCCCTGCGTAATGCGTTGCGGGGGACATGGAAATACCGGGCGTCTGTCAGTGAGTCCGTCCATCTGTCCCTTCTTGTTAGTGCTCTCACGGGTACAATTCTTGCCAGATTTTTATAAAACTTATACTATAAGTTAATATCAGCAATATCTCGGACAAGTTTTATCATGGTGGCCGATCGACTTTTTAAAAAAAGAGTTATGCCCCTTGGAAATATTAAATTTATGGAAAATGGCCTCATTAGCGCTCTCACGGGTACAATTCATGCCAGATTTTTATAAAACTTATACTATATGTTAATATCAGCAATATCTGGGACATGTTCTTTAATGGTGGAGGATCGACGTTTTTAACTCACCTGGCCCAAAGGGCCAAGTGTGCTTTTCTCATCACTTGGCGTCCGGCGTCCGTTGTCGTCGTCCGTCGTTGTTAGCTTTTTACAAAAATCTTCTCCTCTGAAACCACTGGGCCAAATTTAACCAAACTTGGCCACAATCATCATTAGGGTATCTAGTTTTAAAAATGTGTCCGATGACCCCGCCAACCAACCAAGATGGCCGCCATAGCTAAAAATAGAACATAGGGGTAAAATGTAGATTTTGGCTTATATCTCTGAAACCAAAGCATTTAGAGTAAATCTGACATAGGGTAAAACTGATTATCAGGTCAAGATCTATCTGCCTTGAAATTTTGAGACAAATCTGACAACCTGTTGTTGGGTTGCTGCCCCTGAATTGGTAATTTTAAAGAAATTTTGCAGTTTTTGGTTATTATCTTGAATATTATTATAGATAGAGATAAACTGTAAACAGCAATAATGTTCAGCAAAGTAAGATCTACAAATAAGTTGTCATGACCAAAATTGTCAGTCCACCCCTTTAGGAGTTATTGCCCTTAATAGTCAATTTTTTAACAGTTTTTCGTAAATTTTTGTAATCTTTTACAAAAATCTTCTTCTCTGAAACTACTGAGACAAATTCAACCATACTTGGCCATAATCATTATTAGGGTATCTAGTTTAAAAAATTTGTCCGATGACCACGCCTTCCAACCATCATGGCTGACTTGGTTAAAAATAGAACATAGGGGTAAAATGCAGTTTTTGAATTATATCTCTGAAACTGAAGCATTTAGAGCAAATCTGACGGGTGGCAAAAATGTTCATCAGATTTAGATTTATCTGCCCTGAAATTTTCAGACGAATCCGACGACGTGTTGTTGGATTGCTGCCCCTGAGTTAGTAATTTTACAAAAATTTTGCAGTTTTTAAATTTTTGTTATTATCTTAGATATCTTTATAATATCTAATATCTAATACTATTAATTATGATTTTAATCTTATTTTACATGATTTCCAAAGCATCAGTAAATACAGGTGAGCGACACAGGCTCTTGAGAGCCTCTAGTTTAAGAGTTATGCCCCTTGGAAATATCAAAACTATTGGTCTAACTATACCTTAGTAATCCACAGAAGTTAGTATCTAAGTACTATAAATTCAGAAATGATTGCATATATTTATCCTTGCAATTTTTCATAATGGACAAAAATGTGCGATAAGTTATTGCGATTTCATGGAAAACTGGCATACAGATATATGTATCAGAAATCAGAATGTGAGTTCTTATTATTGTGATACTCACCCAGTCACATTATTCACATTAATGATAACCCAGCAATAATTTCTGAATTTACAGTTATTTAAAATATTTCATTTTTTTGCCTTTTGTATTGAATAAATATCTAACCTAGTCAAGTATTAAGTGATCGTGTGTTGTGCAATATTTAGTCTGTAAATACTAAATATATATTTTTGTACAGATTTGCAGGAAAAACATGGCTTCTGTTGAGCAGATTGAGCATCCATTTTTGCTTACATTATAATTTTAAGAATTGATTGATGTAATTTAATGATCATATGTTTTTTTATTGATTGTGATTTTTGTGGTTGCAGAAGACATCTGGCCTTGCAATCATAAAAATTTCGAGCACGATTATCGTACTTAGACTCAGAAATCAACCAATCAAAATGCTGGAATTGGTGTTTCAAACACAAATTTTATACTCCGAGTACTGAGTAAAGTTTTATGACCGAGAGCCCAGGCCATGTGGTCATAAAACTTTAGAGCATAATTATCGTACACAGACTCAGAAATCAACCTATCAACATACTGGAATTGGTGTCCAGCACGAATTTTGTACTTTAAGTAATTTGTTAAGTTTTATGACTGAAAGGTCTGACCTTATTGTTAATGTCATTACATATAGTGTAAAGGTACACATGTTCAGAATAAAAAATGATTTTAGAAAACAATTGCAGCAAATTTTTTGATATCTGAATGGATAATTAACTAGGACTTGAAAAAAATTGAACTAACTAAAATTTATTGCTCATTGCCCAGTATTCAGCACTTAGGTGTTGACATGAATTATCATTGATATGATCATAGTTTTAAATTAACTGTTTTTAAAACTTTGAATTTTTCAAAATACTAAGGCTTTTTTACCTCAGGAATAGATTACCCTAGCTGTGTTTGTCAAAACCTTTCAGATGTTTTGGTTCTCAATGCTCTTCAACTTCATACTTAATTTGGCCCTTTTCACTTGTTTTATTCGAGGGTCACTGATGAGTCTTTTTTAGAAGAAACGCATGTCTGATGTATCAAATTTGAATCCTTGTAGCAATTTTCCAGAGATAATGGGACACATTTTGGAAAACAGCAAAATTTGTCAAAACTTTTGATAGCAGAACAAAAACTGAATACTCCTTCTAAGAGATATGAATATGTATAGTTCATTATATGGAAACATTGGATGTAATTAAAGGATCTTAGTCCCAAAGGGGTTTAGTATTTAATATCAAATATATTTCAGTTTTTAGTGCAATTTTTTATTATTTTTTCTATTTTGATGCTGTGAATTATGTCTGACTGTGTCAGCCAATATTATGTATAGAGTTGATCTAAGGTTATGGAAAATTCTGAAATTATTTCATGTTAACTTTATAATTGTTATTGCCAAAAAAAAAAGAGATCAAAATGCTTAAAATTATTGCGATATTTAAAGAATTCTGCATGAAAGAAGTAGCGCTGTTTAAATTGAAATGCAAGTTATTATTATGGTAACAATGAGATAATTTCTGAATTTTAAGTATGTTGCATTGTCAGTAACTTATCAAAGAATTTGTTTTAAGTTTTTTTTTGCGAAAAGCTGCTTTTGAGTGCAGGGTAGCATTAGTAGACATTTTTATATAAAATAACGAAATGGTAAAATATAGGCAAAATATATACATATTAATTCCAGTTTTTTATCATTAGGACTATTCCATTTAAACAGATGAGGGTAGGTAGGAAAGGACGGACTTATAAAAAAAATACAACCAAAGTCCTAAATGAGAATTGTGGATATAACAAAATGGATATCCATTTACCTTTAGTCTATGGTGGAAAATTGTCTCATTGGCAATTATACCACATCTCCTTTTTTATACAATTTCAATTGACCAATGACCCTTGTTCTAAAATGAAACTTCCTATCCTACCTTCCCACATCTATATTAATGGAATAGTCCATATAAACTTGTACATAATTAGATGTATACTCCTTACATTATGTGATTTTAAATTTTTTAAACTTTTCAAATCTATTTTAACTGTGATATGTGAATATGGATGTTTATATAATATAATTATCATAATAAACATGATCTTATTAAAATAAATTATTGTTATACATTTATGTTTCTTAACCCTTGCTAATTAGGGGGAGGTGCCATCATACATCTCTTATAATGGAGGACAAAATCTTCTTCCTAGAAAATTATCTCTTCAAATCGCTCAATCGTCTCGTCCTGAATATACATGAGATATTTGCCACTGGATGTATAGCAACATCATATATAGCAAATTATAGCAAAGTTGAAGACACCCAGAACAACATGATTGTGTACAGAGCAACAAGAGAAGAAGAATCGTTAAATCAATGTAACTTGAAAACTGGAAAAAAAGCCTTAATTTGAATTCAATCATATCATGCCAGAACATTTTCTTGAAGTAATATGGGCAAGTTCTGGAAAAAAACATCTAATGTTTGTAATATGTTTTAAAATGCAAGATAATTATTTCCCTTTGCACTATGTGGTATTGCAAGTCTGCTTCATAATTACTTTTAATCTTCCTTGAAAAGTTGTAGAGACTGCATCTTCTTGTATTGATTAAAGCTGTGACTGTACATGACTTAAATCTTAACTGGAATGGCAATGTCTTGTTTTTCGTTTCTTGTTTTTTATATAGATTAGACCGTTGGTTTTCCTGTTTGAATGGTTTTACACTAGTCATTGTTGGGGCCCTTTATAGCTTGCTGTTTGGTGTGAGTCAGGGCTCCGTGTTGAAGGCCGTACTTTGACCTATAATGGTTTACTTTTACAAATTGTGACTTGGATGGAGAGTTGTCTCATTGGCACTCATACCACATCTTCTTATATCTATGAACCATTTTTGTTTAAAAAATTGTACAGTTAAATGCAAACAAAGCTCTGGAATATATAGCATATCATACTTCACAACCAGATGCTGCTTGAATTATGTTGAAACATAAAAATGAAAAGGTAGGAAAGTAGAAGTCATTTTTGTAAGGTGGACATGTCTGTCAGTCAGGCCGGTTCAGTCACATTGACCTTGTATTAATGTTCATTAATCAATATTTAGTTTTACGCTTAAATCAGGTCAGTCAGTCAGTATAGATATAAGGTCAACTTTATCTGTTGTACATGTCGTTTAGACAGGTTCATCTAACCCTGATGATGCATGACGTCATTTTCATTGTTCATAGGTCAATGTTATGTTCTCGTGAGTAGAACAATTTCTTAGTCACTAAGTTAAGAGTAAATAACATCTGGTGAATGGAAACATTGTAAGGTGCGCATGTCCTTTGACGTTGTCTATCTTAACCATGACCTCAATTTCACGAACCATTCAATTGTTGAGTTTTTGTGATGTAAACCAGAAGTTAGACATTAATATCAAACACCACAAAACATTGAACTGATGAAAAAAAAAACATTAATCAGAGACTAAATGATGCTTTTTATGTCTACATCAGTGAAATTGAGGTAATAAATATGAATAAAAAAACATCGTATTTAAGTTTCTATCTATCATCAAATGATGAATTTCCATGGTTCATTTCTAGTATACTAGGTGTAACTCAGGGGTTTCATAAATATCTCTTGTGTCATGTATCAAATTCTATAAGAAATATTCTTACTAATATTGATTAAATTTTATCCATCTATTTTTTTCTTTGAAAATGAGAGAGCAACTGAACAGCAAAAAAGACTTTTAGCGATAATAAATTTGACATTTGCCAATCAATAAATGTCTGTTATTCATTTCATTCTTATCTTGGCAAAACGTGTTTTAATCAGTTTTTGAAGTTTCAATGGTGTTTTTAAACAACTTGTAAACATGCAGTGAAATAGTGTTTACGTCATACCTTACCCCACATTAATTCCTACGTCATTGTTTCTATATATACTCGGGGACAATTCCCACATGCTTGCCTGGGGAATTCCTAGTTGCCTTTATATGGGTTTTCTGGTAATTGGGCAAACATGTGGCCATCAACCGTCTGTAAAAGAGAGGCGAAATATACCAAAGGGACATTCAAACTGATAAGTCGAAAATAAACTGACATCGCCATGGCTAAAAAAGAAAAAGACCAACAGACAAACAATAGTACACAAAACACAGCATAGAAAACTAAAGACCGAGCAACACGAACCCCACCAAAGACTGGGGGTGATCTTAGGTGCTCCAGAAGGGTAAGCAGATCCTGCTCCACATGTGGCACCCGTCGTGTTGCTCATGTTAGTACAAACCCGGTAATAAGTCTAATTCGGTAGGTCACATTCGGGAAAAGGAAACGGGATTGTAGTTACGACATTAGGAACATATCCGCTATCATATGTGAAACGGATATTCCGTAACGGTCAACCAACTCGTGATAGCGCTCGTAAAAATAACGAAGGGATGATTTCAACTTCACCACTTGGAACTCTTGGTTTAATAGCTTCTTTGTGAGCAGCAACCCTCTATCAAGGAAATTATGATAGGAAATACAACCCCTGGAGTATCGTATCAACTGGGAGATATATACTCAGTATGCAGGCGCTGCTGAACTGTTGCTACATAAAAATGGAAAGTTCACAATTGGGAAGCTGAAATCATCTCTTTTGTCATAAAGTTTTGTTTTCAACCGACTGTAAATGTACCGGTACTATATATGTCTCGGATAGTGGTCTGTATTATCAGGTGCTACGGTCCTTGCACTCAAAATACTACTGTGTATGCCGAAAAAGTTCAGATTGTGGGCGGTACTCTATACAGTCCTTTTTTTGGGGCCCTTTATAGCTTACTGTTCGGTGTGAGCCAAGGCTCCGTGTTGAAGACCGTACTGTGACCTTTAATGCTTTACTTTTATAAATTTTGACTTGGATGGAGATTTGTCTCATTGGCACTCATACCACATCTTCTTATATCTACTTACTTTTATGAATACGTATGTTGACCCGTAGACACTTATATTTACTTGGTCGCTTTCTCACTGACACTTACTAAGTATCTTTTTTTTCTTCGTAAATGTATCTCCCGGTTTCACAAAATCAACCAACCGTTCGTTATCCATTCATATAACTCCCTTTAAGACACATGATACATAGAGTTCAACTTGTTCGCCAATCGTGCTATGAATATATGCCATAAAGTATTTGCAGCTGGACTCTAAGGCAACACAATTAAGGTCACCTTTTCAATGCACTGGTGTGATGCAAAATATGGAAAGCCTCAGCTGTCATATATTAGAGATTTACAAAACGTTATGCTGAAGCTTAAAATGTAAAGTTAAGCAGCGTGATGTTGAGTTGAGTCATCAAAATGCTAACTCTAAATTACAATATGCTAAGTTGAATTTGCGCAATGTTGACTTGCAATGACAAGTGCTTTAGTCGTGATAGTATAATGATAAGTCACGATGTTGTGATGATATGCCAAACACACGTAACGTTGGGTTTAAAGTACATGATGTGAAGTTGACGTTGCATGATGTTAGCTTGCAGATGGATACTGCTCAGTCGTCCACTTCGATAGCTATGATAACAAATAAAATGAATAGCTAAAATGTATGGTGCTGACTTGTTATTAATAAATGTTGAGCTGAGATAGTACGATGTTATATCATTGTGATATTACGATAGGTCTATCATGCAATCTGTTGATTTAAAACACCATGATGCACAGTTGAAAGTACATGATGTTAAGTTAAGATAACATGATGCTACACCACTATATTGAAACGAAAGGCTTACCATACAATTTGTTGACCTAAAACAACACGATACAACGTGTTAAGCTAAGATGCTCACTTGAAACTACACGACGTACAGTTGAAATTTTGTAATGTTAAGCTACGATAGCACGATGTTATATCATTATAATGTCACAATAGGCTTATTATACAATTTGCTCATTTAAAATTACACCTCGTACAGCTGAAAGTACGTGATGTTAAGCTAAGATAGAACGTTGTTATATCATAAGAATGTCACGATAGGCTTACCACACGATATGCTCAATTAAAACTACATGATTTTCAGCTGAAACTAGGTGATGTTAAGCTAAGATAGCATGTTGTTATATCATTAGAATGTTATGATAGGCTAACCACACGATATGCTCGTTTAAAACTACACGACGTACAGTTGAAAGTACTTGATGTTGAGCTATGATAGCAATATCTTATATCATAATAATATCACGAAAGCTGCCATACAATATGCTCATTTAAAACTACACGACGTACAGTTGAAAGTACGTGTTGTTCAGCTAACACAGCACGATGTTATATCATCATAATGTCACGATAGGCTTATTATACAATTTGCTCATTTAAAATTACACCACGTACAGCTGAAAGTATGTGATGTTAAGCTAAGATAGCACGTTGTTATATAATTAGAATGTCACGATAGGCTTACCACACGATATGCTCATTTAAAACTACATGATTTTCAGTTGAAACTAGGTGATTCTAAGCTAAGATAGCATGTTGTTATATCATTTGAATGTCACGATAGGCTTACCATACAATATGCTCATTTAAAACTACACAACGTACAATTGAAAGTATGTGATGTTGAGCTATGATAGAACGATGGTATATCATAATAATATCACGATAGGCTTGCCATACAATATGCTCATTCAAAACTACACGACGTACAGTTGAAAGTACGTGTTGTTGAGCTAAGATAGCACGATGTTATATCATTATGACGTCACGAGAGGCTTATCATACAATGTGTTGACTTGAAACTACACGATGTAAATTTGAAGTAGTTTAGTCTTGACTTGAAACAGTAAAATGTTAAGTTATAAAAACAGAACGTAAAGTCAAAATAAAACAATGATAGGATGACATATACTTGTGCAGAATTGAAGATTTTTGGTGTTGACTTCGAATATAGTACAAATATTAGATCGTTTTATGTTAAATTGAAAGACAATAACGATGCGTAAAACATTACAGAATTATGTGAATTGAAACTGCAATTCTATGGAAAAGAATGAGGGGCAAATCCCCAGGATTTTTTCTTCTTCATTTGCAAGTTCGGAGGCAAAATGATATACAAAGAAAGTTTTCCATAAATTCATAAAGCAAAAGAAT